GGCTGGATGCCAAGTACTGACAACACATCCCCATTCACAGGTTCGCTGCGAAAGAAGCCATTATGAAGGCGTATCCGGAGCGAAAGTGTACGCTGTGGGATATACAGGTTGTTAGTCCGCCAGATGTCGATGGCAGGTCTCAGGCGCCCAAAGGTATCATCAAATGCGATGCAGGAACGTGGGAGAATGGCTACGAAGTGCCGCTGTCTATCAGTCACGATGGGAATTATGCGACAGCTACGGCTCTTGGATATATGAGTCCGGTCGTCGACAGCACAGCGCGAGCTCCCCCTCCAGTGGCCACAATACCTACTCCAACCTCATCTCGGTTGACTTCCCCGTCGAATGCCTGGCAGTCGTGGCCACTGGACGAGCTCGAGACCTTTTGTCGTATTGCTAATCGGCTTGCTAAATATTTCAGCAGGTATTGCGAAGTAGATGCTTTGAGGGGGGCTCGTTGGGTTCTGATCAAAACCATAAGAGAACAAACAAAGAAGCCTGAAAATAATCTAAAACTATCTAGCGTCTCTGATATGCTATCTTTTGGCGTCGTCGACAATCATTCCACCCGACTTGTTGATCTCAAACCAAATGTCGAGCTGGAAGCTAGGTGTAGAACCCTCTATGAAGAACACATGGAACCCGAATCTAATAAGCGGGTGACCCGTTCAGTTGAACTTTTCGTTGGCAAATTCAGTGATTTTGATTTGGAGATTTCGGAGTCGCCGAAAGATAGAGCAATGAAGATGCAACGAGGTATTTGGAAGGGGCCAACTAAATGGATTCCTCGAAGTGAACTCAGCACTGAAGACAATGTGGTCCAAGAGGCAACCAATGGAGATCTGCACAAGAGGAAGCAGCTTGACAAAAAGCAAGAAGTGCCAGAAGATTCTGTAGACGGCAACGAACATGATGCTGAGGAGAGAAAGCTGCGGGCTGCACTAGACCAATATATTTCTCGTCGGCAAGGGGCGTCGCTCCCTGCTAGTAAGATTTTAAATTCACTACCTCAATCTCTCTAATTACTGTGCTGATGATTAGTTAGGCCCAGATGAGGAGTTGAAAATTTCACGAGTAGTACAAAAAAAGCACCGCAACTTGAGAAGGCATCTAGCGAGGCTACAGTTTTTTAAATCGGGCATATGACGGATGAAGGTGACGAGACCTTCGCTATCCCGTCTTCATGGGACGAGAAGCGATATGAGGAGTTCTTGAATGTTACGAGAGCTATTTAGTACCACGCTAAAAATCTGGTCCCGGGATAGCGATTGAGAGGACATCTCTCTTGATGTCGGTTGTCTATTGAAACCTTCTCATACTCGCCTGTATGATAGCAAGGACGAGTAAATAGTGCGATACTATTTTGTACAATGTATTTCACGGCGTGTGGTTCACGGAGGCAAAATTTACGTAATTTGGGCGATTAAGCTGTATAAGAATCAATTTCCGAACTCGAATACAGACTTTGTTGTATTAAGATACTAGGGTAGGGTATTTGTGGTGGATTTCTTTTCGTGTTAGTTCCGTAATGTGGTCTAGGACTTGTGGGTGTTGAGTTTCTTACCCTGATTCTCTAGTCTTACTATTACCCTGATCCTGGAATATCAGTAACCTGATTGACGTCCCGTGCCGTGTCTCTCACTCAAAGGTATTAGTCATATGTAAAGTGACTAGTCGTGTATTTTTGAGGCGATAGAATGAGGAAGAGCAAAATGGAGAGATGGATAAGGCGAAATTAAATTGTGGAGATTAGTTGAATTCTTTGGAAGAGGTACAGCGTAGAGAGCATGAAAGTTGGAAATTGAAACGTATGAGGGGGCCTTGTTTTATTTTCTTCTAATAGCTCTGCGTGTTAAATGAGCAGCTGAATGAATTAGATTAGATGTCCCGCGTATGTGCTTATGCTACTGTTAACCCCAGCTTAACAATTTTGACCTGTTCTGTTCTCTTTCCCTTAGAAGATCTCACATGTTTAGCGACTTTGGAATGAGTCACTTATAAGTAGTTCTCGTATTCTTGTTCTAACTAAAAATCTTTCTCTATAATTCAAGAAAAGGGCCTTTGGAGAACCGGTCGGGCTAGTCTCCTAATTCTATTTAAGAATGAAAGGAGGAGGTAAGAGAGAGTTTTCTGATGTTTTCTTCAATTAAAAGTGTTGAATTTGTGGAGGACACGGTTTTAGAGCTGTGGTCTTATCTTTTGGAGAGATGTAGATGATAGAGAAGGTTACGAACTCGATATTCAGATGTCGCCACGGAGTTTATTGAATTTCTTATCCCAAGTACCACCATCCAGATCTCACTCCAACTTCCACAAAAACTCCAAACACCCACTCTCACTCCTCTCTCTTCCCCTCCTCCCCAAACTCCTCATATCTCCCATCCCTCCTCATCACCCACAGATACCAAGTCCCCAGAATCAACAATGTCACTGGTACATTCACAGCCCAGAAAATCCAGAAGCGGGGCGAGACGACCGCGTCCCAAGTTGCTGCATCTTTGAAATCGAAGAAGGAGGTGGAGAAGATGGACTGGGAGGTGTTAGATGGCGATGAATAAAGGAGGGGGGGGGTATGGACTGGGAATAGGGTAATAGAGTTTCTGGAAAGGGTATGAGATGATGGTACTTACAGCAATATAAGAACCAGGTATAAATATCAGACCTAACAACGTAAGACCCCTCACAGCATCCGAATCTCGCTTAGCAGTTTGAGCGAGTTTTTTCTGCTCTCTAGCCATGCGTAGGTTCAATCTACTATCATTTTGCGTCATAAGACTATGTAACTGCAGACCACATCAGCACATACACCCCATCCAAAAACCTCATAACCTACCACCGTCCTCTGAATCTCAAGCCTATGCATAGTATTCTCCGCACCCGCCACAGCACCCGCCCATCTCCTCTTATGAAACCCCAATCGAGACATCACGCTTCGATGGAGCATCAACATCCGAGTCTTCTTCGCATCAGTACTGCTCTCGCAGAAGGTCTGGAAGAAAAGCTCGCTGGCCTCCTGAAAAGACTCGCTTAATCCACGTCGTGCCAGCGACACAATCCACAAGATCCGCCGCTGGCAACTCGCTAGATCCCGATTAATAGCATCTAGATCCGCGTGCTCGTCTTCGGTGAAAGTCTTGCGTCGGCTGGTCTGTCGCTGCATAAGCGTTGTTTCCGCGTGTTCGCGGAGCCAGATTTCGGTCTTACGCTGCTTCGTCTCTGCGTCGTCGAGATCGTGGGCGGAGTGGATGAGCGGGAACATTAGGGGATGTGATATTTCGGTGACGCATTTTTTGAGCATGGTTAGGGATAGCGAGAGGGTTGGTTTTTGAACGCTGTTGCTTTGGGCGCGGCAGAAGCCACTTGTGATGCGGCTTGCGAAGTCGTGGCTGAGGATTATTTCAAAGCAGTTGGTTGTGCCGTTGTTGTTGGAGAAGGACTTGCGGTAGAGCATTTCTGAGAGACACGCTGTTAATATTTTGTGTTTATGCGTTGGGATGGCACTCACGTAGGAAACAGTTATTCTTTTCATGATACATGTCGAACCAGAAGAGAAGGCCAGTCGCCGCAGAGCTCTCTATTGCCTTTTTGGGAAGACGAAACTTGTCAAACATGGAAATGTAGGCATCAAATCCCATGGTTATCATGCTAGGCAAGAAGCCTTGCGGATGGTTGGCGTTTTCTTGAACTCTGTTTATTCAAATAAGCATTCAAATCGTCGGCTAATGGTAGAAGGTCGTCATACATCATCCTCAAGCCACCAAGTACAGTGACCTCTTTTGGTAAATGTGATGGTGAGAAGCCATCTTTCCTTTCCAAGAAACTTGAAAACAATCTAGTTTCCGGATCGATTGGCTCCTCTGTCACAGTATTAAGCCGCTGGTCCTGAAAATCGTGAGCTTCAATGTAGCGCGGCCTCATTCAAACCCAGTCAACATTACCGAATAAGAGAAGATTTCCAGACAAGTGGTGTTTTCAGTGACACTTTTACATTGAGCTACTGTCTCTTTGAAAATCAAGTCGTCCATCGATTGTGGTTAAAGCACAACATGTCCCTACCATGATGCTAGCCTACCTCCAAGCTATTTATTGGGGTTGATCAAGATTTTGCTTTTGGCGTTACATACGGCTGTGTCGGGGCGATGCAAGAAACACTGCATGCCGTGTCATCGTGGAGTTCCGCCGGAAGCCCAATAAAACCTCAAGTTTTCAGCCTCACTTGCATCCGGCCACGGCTTGCTATAATACTAGCAGAAGACATCTGATGAAGATAAAATGAGAACAAACACTAGGGAAGTACCGGTCCTGCTATAACCAAATTGGATCTAGCCTCAAAGCCTATATTCTCTGAGTATATACATATTAATGTAACTATCACTCTACCAACACATGTTTGAACATGGCCACAAGAGCCCCCATGGTTTGATACCTACCAATCCCATCCCCAGCCCAATTAACTCCACCAAATGTACAGCCATCTACAACCTTATAACTACAGGAACGCTCATTCCTTCATCGGGCCAAGCGAGCCTTTCCGCACCCTCTCGTTCCCGAATTCCCGTTGCAGCTGCCCAGGACTGTTCAGAATAGGCACGCTACTGACAGGTCTCCGCTTGATGACACTCGCGCTATGTGTCAGACTAGACCTCTTCGCAAGATTACTCGGTCCAGAACCTTGCAATTCATGAGGTCCTTCTTCTGGTATTGCTTCATCTACAAGCGGCATAGCGGCCATCCCGGATTGCCCTTCTAACCAACCGCCCCCGATTCCACTCCATGCCGGACTCGCGCCGAACCCATCAATACCTGATCCCCTCCAGCCGTCACTACCGTTAGTGACTTCGTTTATAGTATTGTTGAGACCAAATGACACGCGCTTCTCACGTGTCGTTGTTTTGGCTATTGGCAATGAACGAAGTGACGAGCGTGAAGATGAGTTGTGCGAATTTGTAGAGTTAGCACTATGAAAAGTCTCGGCACTGCCGGATCGATTATGGCTTATATGTCGGTCGTCGAGGAGATTTTGTTCTTGCTCAAGTGGATGAGTTGGTCGTGTTAACGCTGCTGCTTGCATTGCAGGTGTCGGCGTCCCTCTATAACTCGATATCGAAGAATTTGAAGCGTTATGTTTTTGGTATTGCATCGCTCCTGGTGCCGAATTGATGTTCCTCCCATTTTGATGTTCCGGAGAGTGGTGGAGACTTGATATATCACTTCGAACGGTTCTCAAATGAGGCGCTTCCCAAATAGGAGGATCTGGTTCCCGGAAAGCCTCTGCTTGGGCTTCTCGGTCGACTGTCTTTGCAGGTGGTGGTGGAACATACATTACAGTAGTCGCTATCTGTATATGTCCATGTTCGGAATCATCATCACCATCGTCAGTCTCGGTATCCTCATCCGAGTAATCGCCATCGAAGCCATACTCGCGTGATGCTTTGGCCCAGGTGTGCGAGAAGTCCTCGTTCTCAGTATCCATCTCATTCACCTGGGGCATCGGCCGTGCGCGCATGGGATCCGAATTGTTAGGAGAAGGTGTGAATCGGGGTGGTAGATTTGAGTAAGCCCTCTCGGCAAGAGGCTTTGGGGGAGTCCTTCTGTACCCGTGTCTGTCAGAGAAAGGGTTTTGTCGAGAGACGTCTGTATATCCGTTGGGTCCAACTAGCATAGGTGGCGACGATTCTCCTATATCAGCCTCATCCGTGAAAGGGTTAACTCTGGCATTGGCCGAATATCGCTGCTGTTCATTGACCTCAGCCATTCCACCACCACCATGGTATGCAGTGTCGTCTTCATAACCTCGTTCAAATCCACTGTTATCAAGATGGCCTATCATTGGCGATACAAAATCGTCGCGGTTGTTGTAATCTTGACCGATGGGCTCGAAGGGCTGGACAAATGGAGGTTTCCTCCTAGAAAATATGTCAGCTTATTAAAATACCAATTACACATTGAACCTACTCGAAGTAAGCCGATCGTCGAGTCCGGTTTTTCCTATCATTGCGGCGACGTAGGAGAAAGAAGGCCAGGGCCCCCACGAGGGCCACACCAGCGATACCTCCCACAGTTCCTCCAGCTACGGTACCTGCATCGGTTTTCGAGGCGGTTGGCGCTGGAGCAGTTACTTGAGCAGCTTGAGGTGGTGATACAGCACCAGCGTCTGAACCAGCTTGAGATCCTAGATTCACCGTCGCAGTGGCAGCTATCAGAGGACTACTCACGCCTGAGATGGTCACTGATGGATTGTACGTGACTCCTGTGAACACTACTTGTAACCTGGCATCCGTTGGCTTCCCAGCGTAAGATGTTGAAATTGTAGTTGCCGATGCTGGATCTCCACACGAGTATTGATAGTATTCCCCCGGATAGGTATTTCTGTAGCATAAAGCGGTTCCAGGGCTGTCGCATCGTTAGTATTTGCAACTCGATCCTCGATCTTATCCATGACCACATACCAGTTCGTAACTCCATCATTCTTCACAACTGGTGTCGAAGCCCAACCCGCACTCTTATTATCCAGACAAGTCGTGTATACACCTTGAAGACACGCGCCATCCGTCGTACAACACCCGACAACTCCATGTATGGTATCGTGAACACAAGATGATCCGGCCGAACATTGTGCTGGTGCTGCCTCATTCCCGCCTAACCACCCACAGATTGCGACATCGAGTGATGATCTCTTGAATAACTTCGATGGTTCGTTGGGTACTCCAGTCGGTCGCGGCGACCACTCATCTGCCCTATACGCTATCGTTTCTACGGGTTCCGCCCATGGTGTCGCATTCGTGAAGCCCAAAATCAGCGAAAAAAGGAGCGCAACTGACGATGCCGGCAGAGCGAACACATTGACGGCCATCGCGAAAAGAGAATCAGACAAAGGAAAAGGTTTACAAATTCGACAATTGATTGCTGAAGCGACAGGAGGTCGAATATGAAGCGATAACGTCGATGGGATTCTTTGCGAGCCCACCAAGCGCCGTCGTGACTGCGGATTGCGCTTTGAGAGTCGAGGGGGTTTGAGGATCCATTTTGGCCTATCTCTCGAGTTGGCTAAACGGCCCCTCGCTCGTTGGCTTGATCAACTCGAGGATTGAGGCGCGGGAAATCACCGATTGGGTCATTCTCACCAATTCTTCCATTTCTGGATGTTGGATGTTATGGAGGTGCGGATTCAGCCAGTTAGAGTTGATTCTGTAGAGATTTCCTTGCCATTGACTGGGGGCTGTGCTGTACCTGTCAGGCACAGTCGAGTTTAGCTTGATTCTGAGTGATGGCGAAGATCAGATGGGTGGTGATTTGCAGGAAACGTGCAGGATCGTGCTGGATATCAGCGAAACATCGCAGGAATGTCCATATAATCTTCCAAGACGAGAACTCCTCGTGAAGGTTGAAGAATCGTGAGATGAGATAGAGATGAAGTTTGTGTTGTGGGGGAAACGTTGACGTCCAGGACGGGAGCGGAGTGGGGGTGTTGTCAGACGCTGGACCGTATTTAGTACCCGGCCCTATTTTTGTCGCCTAAGCCCCCTCAGTCATCCACTTCGTGGCCAAAATCATTTCCACCATCATGGCGAAAACCGACGATTTCCGGCTAGATGTCACGAATCTGGCTTTTGGTAGTCCGATTGTACCTGGTTTGCTTTGATGCCAATTCTGTTCTATCTTGCGATGATGCTATGCCAGCAGAAAGCCAATGGAACTAAATACGGATCCAAGCTAAAGAAGAATTGGGCTGGTTTGAGACCATGATACACCTCGATATGGGACTGTTCCAAGCTCTAGAAAGCAGTTGTTGAACTTTCGAAGGAGACTATAATGCCTCTATGAATAGCAGAAGGCACAGGTTCCGCCAAAAATCGAGATCATGCGAAGTGAAATCATGTTACTGACGAAAACTCCATGGCCTTTGCAACAAGAGGTTCATCACTCGATTACGACATGGGTGGAGGAATCCCACTTCATATATATTATACCATTTCTCGGAATCATAGTGTATTACATGCAACTTATTCCCTTGGAGACCTACAGAAGAGCCAACTTCATAGCGAGCTTTCTATCAAAGACTCGATACCATACGTATCAACCGCAGGATATTCGAAAGAAGATAAAGAATGGCAAAGAAACGACAAAAATTCTGCAACAAGTTCAAGATTCATGAAGAAAATACCACAGATCCAGCGCGGAGTGGCTTACAACTAGAACCTTCAACGCTCATCTCAAACTCATCCGGAAAACCCAAAACCATCTCCCACCACGAAACCCAATATAAGAATCAAAAATCATGCTCGTACTGACTTACTCCTCCTCGTACTCGATTTACCCGTCCCTCCATCACCAATTGGCCACAAACAGCCGAGTCATCAACTCCAGGAACCGAATCCTTCGGCTGCATGGCGTGCTCTGAACAACACATAAACCTCACAATCTCGAATACAACACCCACCTTCAACTAACCCAATCCATTGCAAACTCATTCAATGCCCATATATCTCCCAATAAGACAACATAAACTGCTGCACAGTCATTACATGGTGGAGTCACACTTCTTCGGCAGCCCAAATGTGCGAACGGCCCGTTCCTAGGCTCCGAGGTTACGTTACGTGTCAGACAATATCTCATTCAGGCCAGTTTCAGAGCGGTTCCATTTCGGGGAACCGGCCGACTACGGCCGAGAGCGTGAGACGTGGTGAGGGTGTGGAGATGGGATTACTCCGTCCGTACTTGCGTAGTTGATTGAAGTGTTGATAAGGATATAATGACAAGAGGAGATCTGAGAAGTATTTATGATGGGGATGGAAAGGTACGGAGGTAATTTTGTGACTGAAGTGACACCGAACCAATCGTACCGTCTTCGGCTCGTAGGGAATGTCTTACAGTAGAAGACAACGAGGATAGAACGAATATCAACTCCCAAAACCCCATTTCCTCTCCTCCCATATTCCCAACCCCCCTAAAGAAGTGAAGAATATCACCTCCAAAACCTCCAACCAACAATCTACACACCTCCCCCTCCCCCCATCCAATCTGGACTCGATCCTGTCCCATTCCATCCCGTCCCATTCACCACCCAGTTAAACCAACCCCCAAAGCAGAACAAACCCCCCTAACCACAAACCACCTAGTCCCATCCTCCCCCCTCAGCTCCCAAAAGCGCACACATGAATTGTTGCACATCGAACTATTTAGCACCACACTAACGAAACGCACTCACCATCCTCACGTCCAGACTGCACGAATCACCAGGCGCGGCCCGTGAAGGCAGGAGCACTAGGTCGACCCGACAGCACGGGATGCCCCAGGGGCCCCGGGGGCCTGATATCGCGGGCGGCTTGGAAGGATGACGGATGAATTAGGGGGAAGAATGATGTGCATACATATACATATGCGAGGATGGATATATGTACCTACGTCGCACCGCGGTTTAAAAGATTTGAAATGCTGATATATGTGAGGGGTATCCAATTGCATGTACATTTCCCATCCGTGTGACGGGGTTTTGCTTTCCATCTACATCGAGTCTTCGAGCTGCTTACTTCTTACCTTTTGCCAGTTATCCTTTTCTGCTTTTCCGCCTTTGTTTTCTAATCCCATGCCCCGTTCGACCCATTCTTGCGATCCCATTTCACTTAGTCTAGATAATGCTCTTGCGAATGCAAATCGTTCCTCGTCACCGCTAAAAATGGAGCTGTTCTTCAGCATCGTCATGTTCATTCCGAGATCATCCATCATCAATCGCATGGCATCATCGAGATCTTCTCCTTCCGCCTGTCCTTTCTTATCTTCGGAATCTTTCTTCATGCTATCTTCGATCTCTTGTCTAGACAAGAAGAGCTGTGTAAGTGGCACGGCACTGGTGAGAACTAGCTTTGCTCGAGATTCATAGACTGCGTCGATGAAGGTGATAAATCTTCGCGCAAGATCACGTTGTTGGTGAGTCATGCCTGGGACGTCTGTCACGATGAACGAATCGTAGCTACGCATTAGTTCAATGTAGTCAGCAGCGCTAGTCGGGCGCCCTATTAGTTCATCAAACGTAAACATTGCTGCTCGTCCGCTGACTTTAGGAACATGAATTTCTCGACCCCATACATGCTGGGTCTCAGACCGAGGTTTATCTTGATGAGGATCGCCAAGGAATCTAAACCACTTCTCTGCGTGGGTTGGGGCATGCTTGTCAAGAGGGGCATGATATACTCCAGAAGGTGGACGAGGTATTTTGCGATAATCTGTAGGAGAGTCGAGATTGATAACGTGCAGACGATTTTTGAGAAGGTGTATACAAGGAATGAAAGATTCACGTTGTATACCATTTCGGTATAGGTCATCTGGGTGTCGATTCGAAGTTGTCACTAAGACTACGCCATGCGACATCAGAGCTTCTAAAAGCCTAATTTCACATTAGCACATTGCTAGTAAATTTGGAGAATACAAACCGTCTGAGAATCATAGCATCGGCAACATCAGTACACTGGAACTCGTCAAAGCACAGAACATTTCCCTGCTGAGCAATATCAGCAGCAATGAATGGTATAGCATCGATGTCGTTGCCGTGCTCCAACTTCATCTTGTGTAGCCGCTTGTGGACGTCCTGCATGAAGTTGTGAAAGTGTATCCTGGTTTTCGAAGTGACACTGCTGGGCAGAGTTTCGTAGAACATATCCATGAGCATCGTCTTCCCACTGCCCACGTCCCCAAACAGATATAAGCCTCGAGGCAAATTTTCAGGTATCGGTGCCAGTTTCCTCTGTTTCGGTTTACTGCCAAAAATTCGACCGAACATGGAGACGGGCTCTGGTTTAAGAGATTCGAGGGTAGGATGGACGATTGGAGGCGCGGAGTAGTGCTGCAGCTCATCATGAAGATGCTGGAGATTCTGTATAATGCCTTTCCCTTCGTCAGCAACTAATATTGCTTGTTCAAGAACAGGTCCCACCTCTTTGGTGCTCATCATCTCTTAAGCGTCCGGCCTTGACCCGCGCGTTGTATTCTTGAATCGGTCCATAGTTGTCCTTGTTAACTTTGAAGTATTAGTGTCCGCATAAATCAGAGGACGAAACTGCTGTACCGTTTTGTACAGTAGCTAACGATCTCCGCTGTCCTGCAACAAACGCGGCAGGCAATACGAAAGCTCGTCGCCCAATGCTTGGGGCACCGTCGATGTTTCTCGGTAACGCATATTGCCGTCCGTTGTACGAACTGGTGCGCAGGCTTCTGGAAGAAAATCTGCACTGATTGCATTGAGCTAAAGGAGCAGCTTCAGCATTTCTGGCCGTCGCAAAATTCGAGAGATCGTTTCGGAGACATCGCCGAAAAGTGGCGTGGGGAAGAGGTGGAATCTTCATCTAGGGAAATTGAGGGTATTATGAGATCTACATTGAAGTCTAAAAGCCAAAAAAGGAATGGATGTAACGAATATGTACAGAGGTAAGTAGCTAGGAGTTTTGTCAGAGGCTTTCGAAGTTGGGTAAACATCACGCGATTCTGTTGATCCCACGGATCTTCTTCGGCAATTTGAAGCCGAGGCCAAATAAACTTTGAGTCTTCGCAACAAAACCTCCGCCTCCGCATTCAAATAAATCGCCGTCGAAGGAAGTACCTCGCTTCTGGGGCCAAACAGCAGCCAGTCCATACTTGATATATCGTCTTGGAAATAGTCAATATTGGGCTTTTATACTATGTGGGTTTGTCTAGGTATGCTTTGGAAGCCTTTTCCCTTCTTCACCTCCGATTCCTCTCTTTAAACGGGAAACTGTTGCTTAATGGTAGCCGCAATCCCGATTCTGATGGGCTCCTGTTTTCGATAAAAATTCTTGGATCTTAGTGAAAGAACGCCTGCGGCTTTCAAACCCCTCATGTTTCGGCTCGTCCGATGTTTAGAAGCAACAGAACTGGTCGAGTGACGAATACAGAACATATGTGGCAACAGACAGTCAACTACTTTTAGTTCCAGTATGGAGGTTAGCAAAAAGTATTGATGACTGTCATACTGCAAATCTCCCATACGACTCGCACCTTTACATGGCTCAAGCATGTTGCGGCAGGTGGTACAGCTGTCGATTTCGAGGGACACGGAAAACTCCTTCGCCCCAGAACAACCTTAGGAAACCCTTCAAGACCCAAAATGTTCTGATTAAAACCCAGGTATGTCGATACAATTTAATCGTAAATACCATTTAACGAGAGAAAGAATAGATGAGGTATAGGCAGGAATTCGCACTCGCTTATTCCGGCGACGGCCCGACCCCTTTCTCAAGCAGCACACCCTAAGCTACTCATAATACATCCAGCTTGATAGTGGCCATGCGGATAATTGAGTTGCAAAACCATTGACTTGGTATGGAGTACAAAGCCCGCAAAATGGTTGTGTCACCTCACCAACAGCCCGAGCATGCAGTGCCACACGTACATACCTAGGTAGTCAGATATTCCTGTGTTTGCAAATCCCGCTTTTTCTCATTTCTATGCTTCAGCCCGTCAGGCCAAAAGTTGAAGTCATTTATGAATCATATACCTAGCTTCAGTTAGTTCTTATCGAAATGTAATTGTACCGAATAACAGGACAATGGATCATATCCAGTCCGGCTACGGATTTAATCCTACAGCCTTGCTCCTAGATTTCATCAACTGTGACCACATACTGGCACATAGCAAGTCGACCCTCATCCTTCTGGTGCTCGTGGGGGCTAGTTTCGTGTAAGGTTGCTCAATTTGTGTCTTACTGGCTGTTGGCCTGCAAATCACAGCCTTGTTTTCCTTGATGCTCGATGGCTTGGTCGACTTACGAGCTCCGTGATCGCACAGGGGATGATGAGGCGACTGCGAATGCAATGACCGATAAAATGGGATCAACCCAGACGCATTCTATTCCTCAAAACATGCACAGCGGCAATAGTGGCATCAGCTGCAATAAAGCTGTGTCTTTACGACGCGCTAAACCAAGAGTACAGCAGGACGTTTGTGCAGCCTCAAAAGGACGACTGGATCCGTGTTCATTACTTTTGCATTGTGAAATATTTATTTCCTCTTCTTGAAACCAAAAATATTTGCCCTTCGTGGATATCAAAATAAGAAGTGGTAGCATGGATCGTCATGAACAGTTATCCCCAATAAGTCCTGCAGGTCTTTCGGGCGAGGGAATAGAACACGAGGCTGATTGGAGATTCTTCCCCCAGCCCATACAGCCTGAGCCTGAGCCCGGGATCGAATACATAACTTACAAGGAAATGCCGCCCTTACCGCAAACTTCTCAAGTTGAGGATTTATCAGACAACAAGGCCGCCTCCCAAGAGACTGGTAGAGGAAACCGTATTTGTGGAATTCAACGAAACAAGTTCTGGATTCTGTTCTGTGCTGTTGCCATAATTTTGGTTGTGGGCGGGCTGGCGGCTGCTGTTGGTGTTTTGTCATATAAGCTTTCACATAAAAGAAGGTTGGTCCTCTACCCCTAATCTATTTGCATGATTTTTGACCTTCCCAGTAATTCTGAGCCAACTTCAATCCAGCCGTTTCTAAATGCGACGGGCATCTCCACCATCCCGACTGGCTTCCAAAGTTCAGCCACCTCCATATCCTCAACGTCTTTCACAACTTCCCTCTTCTTGTCCATAACGCCCATGAGCACCACAACCTCATCGCAAGGACTACCTACCACATCAACCAGTCTCTCAACGTCAATCATTCTCGCCTGCGGACCTCTTGGAAGTTGTAATGCCACCGGTTGTAATGGTTATAACAGCCAGGAAACAAAATTTGGACAGTGTCAGGCTGGTTCTGAGAGGGGATGTCCGTGTATGACTCTTTGTGGGCCACTCTTAGGGCCGTGTAGTGGTTGTGATGGGTTTAATGGGACGTGTGTGGCTTTACCTTTTGCGGGGTGTGGTTGTACTTAATTGGGTGTCCTAGGATTAAGGGGATTCTACGTTGGAGTAAGAGCGATGTTGTGGGAAGGGGAGACCACCCTTAATGGAACTCTTTTAAGACCTTCTTTTTTAATAATGATGCTTACAGACAGGTCTAGGTGCTTCACCACGATTGAGAGATTGCCTCCAGTAAGTGCTAGAAATGAAGAACCTGGGGGAGCGAGCATCCTATTGCTAAGCTGGAACGATATTTCCAATTAGATAAAGATATCGACATACTTCTATGCCAAATCCTCCCATCGTTATCCCAAATGGAACATTCAGCTCGCCTCGCAGGAGACAAGGTACGTAGTGGTAGCTTTCGACTATTCCCCAGAAGCCTTACTTAAGCGTAAAAGGTGCTCTCGTCTAAAGAGACCCCAAAATGTGTTCACGATGGTTTTGATTTTCCGAAATGAAAGGTGAAACATAGGATCCCCAGACTTATTTCCGCTCACCAGATCTTTCTCTTATTTCACCATGTTATCAGAATTCCACCTCTTCCCTCAGCTCCCTCTGGAATTTCGTCTTCAAATCTGGAGTCTAGCGAAGCTGAATCTCCCACTTACACTTCTGTATACAGGCGCAGAAATAGGCGAGGACGGGAAGACCATTAATTTTTAAACCGTACTATATAACACTAATCCGCTATTAACTGTTACTCGTAAAACCTGGGAATTAGTTGTAATAAGTTACTAGTGCATATTGAAATTTCGCATAAGAGGGAACGAAAGTTTTATTCGACCTTAGAAAAAAGTAAACGTTAAGGAGGAAGAGTTTAATATCAGCAGTCTGTTAGTAGACGTCGACACCGATTTCCTATTTCTAGCCACCAAGTCTCAACGACCATCAGAGTACAACCAATCCCTGTTTCTAGATCCCAAGCCGGACACCTACACCGGCCAAATCTCAGACTACAATAAAGTCCTCGCCAGACTCTTCGATATTCCACCGCATAGAAGTACGAAGATCTGGCAAACCGTGGCAATAAGTCAAACTTTTGGCATTGTTTGGAGCCGCGAGATAACGGGTTTCAATGTGAAGTTTTGTTTTGGAGATTTGTTTGAATTTTTTGGACTTGATAGTGTTGGTATTGGTGGGGATAAGGGGAGATTAGGCTGTTTTCTTGCGCGGATGAAGGAGACTGAACTTGAGGATCTTGATGAATCGATGATGACAACATGGTTGATGGGGTGTGGTGGTGAGGGTCGGCGGCGGAAGTTGGAGAGGAGGGTTATTGAGGAGCGAAGTGATTGTAGGTTGTTAAGAACTTAGTTTGGAGTTTAAGCGAACTACCAGTCTTTGGATTTTCAGTTGTCGCAAACATTGACGAATCGAACGTGAGTTATACCTCATTTCAAAAATTCACGCTGGTATTCTCCAACGAATACTTCCCCTTTTCCAACCACATGCCGTGTTCAATCCCCAAGGCGAAACCTCCGCATCCTCACACTCCAAATGGCAAATCTTCAACCTCACAACCCCCTCTTCATTATCTTCCACAATCTCCTTAATCCACCTTGTCTCCCATTCCGGAATCCCATAACACAATCCCAGTCGTTCCAGATTAGGAAAATTCATCCACACCATCCCCCGAGTTGGATCGCCTTTACCCTCTTGCCTCCAAAAATCCTTCTTAAAGAACTTCCGCGGGATGATCATGTGCTTCAGACTCTCCATCCCATGCGAGCTCTGCGGCCCGAAAAGGATGTTGAAGTACGCCGTTATATCCCGCGGGTAAGAGCGCGAGGGCTGCGGGGGAATGTGATGTAGGAAAAGTACATCGTTTTGGAGGTCAATAAGTAGTGTCTCCGCCGCAGCCTTCGGATGGCTAGAATCAACGTTCGAACCGTCAAGTTTTATACTACTAGAAAAGGGATTCACATATCGTCCTCGTAATTCTGACCTCGCTTCTCTGTTGACACCAAGTAATCGAGGGGTTCGTGATGTGTGGATCGTAAATCCTAATTCTTCTTTCTTGGTATAGTAGGGAACTATTTCGACAAGTCTGTCGTGTTGGGCAGCAGAAATCTCGAAGGCCAGATTCCAGATTTGTAGTCTTATTTCTGGGGGCAAATTGGGAAAAAGAGAAAAGCTTGTTGAGTTTTCTTCCTCTGGTCCCAGGCGTGAGTCGGATTGTTCTTCAGCTGTTTGTGTCGGTTCGCGTTTTCGCGCCAGCCACAGATTTCTCAGCCGGTTCATGATAGAGAGTCGGATGTCTCAACGTCTTGTTGTCTTTCAGTATGTTTAGATTCTGAATGATTTGGTTTTAGGAATCCGTTCACGCCTGGGACGGTTGGCGTGTTAGTTGTATAGAGGTCAGGTCCAATACCAGTGGTTTGCAGGAGACGTTCCAGATCGTGATCGAAACCCTCTTATTTTAAAAAAGAATGTTTTAATTCGCTACGCTATCGGCGCACCCCCTTTTTCATGTGCTCATTTAAGCGAAGGATCACTTCCCAGGTTACGAGAGACTTGGCAGCGGCGCAGCCGCTGCTGAGATGTATTTTGGAGGTGAGTTTTAAAATCGTTCATCATTATCATGTCTCTCTCAAGAAGTTCAAACGTCGAAAATATCATTATGACAAACGCTGCCCAGAGCAATCGAAAAATAAGGATGATGTTCAGGATGCCTCTCCGTCGACTGGTGAAGAATTATTAATTGTTGGAGCCTCCATCTATTGTCTGACCATGCCGATAACGTACCTTATTAGCTCCGCTAATAGTCAAGTATAGCATCGTTTCATCCATGGTCTAAGTGGTAATTGTAAATCTACGTGGACTCATAAGACACATCGAGTTTTCTGGCAGAAGATTTTATTTTCTAAGGATTAATCTTGCGCAATACTAGCTTTGCTTACATAATTTCTGGGTGAAGGTTATGGCAATCCCTATTAGCACGTTCGTATCTAAGTTAGCTTTATGGGACACAGACTATAGTATACAGCTACCATCGATACCAGTCGCCCTCGTTTCACCGGTCGCCAATCGTAAAAGTGGGAATGGTGATTGGCGCTACTGTGCCGCATTTGTACGCCGAATACTACCAGTTTCTTTGGAGCTATTGTGTATTTACATCCATTTCAATTTAAAGGATTACCCTCCTTATTCCTTCCCCTTCTTTTTCTCTATTGTTCTTACACACTACTCTCATACTTTTATTTTCACCAGTATGGCATCGGAGCACCACGAGGTCATCCTCATAGGTGCAGGTTATGGTGGACTTGCAGCCGCAAAAACGTACTTGGCTGTACGACCTTCCATCGATCTCCTTGTCATTGATAGGGAAGCAGGAGTTGGTGGTGTTTGGGCCAAGAACAGAATCTATGAAGGACTCAGATATGAGTGGCCTACACCAGGGGCCAACTTTTCGGATTTTGATATGAGGAAGCAATTCGGCATGGAGACGTGGGAGCACATTTCTGGGACCAGAATGAATGAATATCTCGTATGCAACGAAGAATCAATTCAAAAGTCTGAGCTGATTGAGGAAAGGTGCGTTATGCGGAGAGATTCAACATTATTGAAAAATGTCGCTTCAACGTCAATGTCCTCGACATCGAGAGGGATGGCGCGCAGTGGAAAATTATCGTTCGCACGACTTCATCGCCTTCACCAAAATCTCTTATCTGTGACAAACTAATCGTCGCCACGGGTATGAATTCAAAGCCAAAAACACCTGAACTTGATTTAAGCAAGTTTGACGGCTTTTCATTCCATTCCATCGACATGGCATCACAGTACGAGAGAATGATTGCAAGCGAAGTCAAACATGTCACAGTCGTCGGCGGCCATAAGACAGCGCTGGAAACTGTTGGACTTGCTGCTCGTGCTGGTAAAAAGGTCGAATGGCTGATACGAGAAGAGGGTGGAGGAACTCCATGGATGATGCAAGCCACGAATCCAGACGGGAGCTTTGCACTGAAGCCTGTCATGATTCGATGTTTTAGCAAATTTGGGACGAGTGTTTATAAATCCGACCAGTGGTTGAATCGTTTCTTTCACAGTGGTCAATGGGCTTTGGGAACTTGGTTTATCAATTGGTTCTGGAAGATGGGGACAAATAGAGTTCTTGGAGATCGGTTCAAAAGTGAGAATGGAGCCAAGCTCAAGCCAAAGTCTCCCAGGTGGGCTTCAATTCCACGCCATTTGAAGTGTACTGACGGATAATAACAGTTCTTTTTGGCTCAACCCTGGAGGCACGATACTACAAGAGCAAGATCTAGAAGTTCTGCGGATGATTGACGAAAACCAATTAATCAACGTTAAGATCGCGCATATCACGCAAGCACATGGAAATGGCGTCTTATTAAACACAGGAGAAAAATTCGAAACCGATGGAATTGTATTTTGTACTGGCTGGTAGGTTCTTTCAATGATTGTCACATCTCACTGCTAATTTTCGTGCCCAAGGGATCTTTCGGCGCCACCGCTCTTCTCTGATAAGCTAACCAGCGATCTTGGCCTCCCCACACCTCTTCAAAGTCTCTCAGCGGAGGAGATAAAATACTGGGACAACCTCGACCAGCCCGCAGAAGATAAACTTGTCAAGCTGTATGCATTCCTAGAGCAACCACCTCCATCAATATTTGTCCCAATCTCCACTCTCTCACCATTTCGTCTCTACCGGCAAATGGTTCCACCAAAACTAGCTGCTTGTGACGATAACTCTCTTATCTTTCTGACCAATTACTCGACCGGACAGGTGCCTCGTACCTCAGAAATCTACGCTCTTTGGGCCGTAGCATATCTCGAGAATCTCCTCCCTGACGATACAAAGGACATTCTCTCAGATAAGCATCAAATGGACTGTGACATTGCTCTCAATGAAGCATATCGGAAGAAACGATTTTTGAATGCTCACCCTGTGAGATTGAGCGTCGCTGAGACCTCTGAGCACGACGAAAATGTGTTGAGAGACTTGGGGCTGAGGAATGACAGAAAGAGGATGCGGATGCCAACAGGGTGGAAGGGATGGTTCGGATTGAAGGCTTGGTGGGCTGAGTGGTTTGAACCGTATTTTCCGGAGGAATATGATGGGATTGTTGATGAGTTTTTGGAGCAAGTAGCCCGCAGGAGTGAACAGGCTGGTAGTCAAAAGAATTAAGAGGGCCGGTATTGGACCCTTGGGTATAGAGGTTTCCAGCATGGAGCGATAGACGTCGAGACATTTGTTACTTGAAGCGGAAAGAGATTTTAATTTTCAGAATAAGATCGCTTGAAGCTTTTTACATGTGAATAGATAAACTGTTGAACTCCCAGGCAGACTTTTTTGATGTGGATATGAGAAATCAAGCTGTGTTTGACAAAAATGGATAAGACGGCAACACAGAAGAGGAAAAGCCTTACTAACATCTCAGGACCTGGTTGGTTTCCCTTCAAAATGAAGAAACTATAATCCAGCCTTCCAATCTGATCCCCCGACAAGATTTCGGAAACAAGTTAACTAACTTGTTGGATCGTATCTTCGACTAAAAACACCCTAACTGTAGATCGATACTCATGGAAAGGTTCTGAGTCGTGCTGGAGGGGAAGATTCTAGGTGGAAAACCGTGAAGCGAGATAAGTGAAAAGGGGGAGGGGTCCGACCCACTTATTACTGCTTCTCGTGGAACAAGGGCAACGATAAGGTATCAGATTCGCAATCGCAGTCACATCGCCAGTTTGTGGAGAAGAGGCGTATTGCGGGGTACCGTGGGCGAAATAACATGGCTCCGTATATTTGGATATAGGATTTCTCGACTAAGCTCGCGGCCAACAAGATACTGTAGTTAACCCATCAAGTCAGACTGAAGCCAAAGAAGATGTTAACAGTGAGAGACGTACTAAGAAATTGTTGATTTGCTTGCTGAAGTAATCTGGAAAATAAATGATCTATTTTAAAAAACTCTTCTTTTTAGGGAGCACTTATCTTGTCCACCAGGAGGCAATCAAGTCGACAAAAAGCGGTGAGAACCAGATGTAAAATTGATTTTCTGCTGACTGTAGCTGCATAAAGGCTGGTCTCGAGTTGATGCATTCGCATTGTAGGCGGTCAGCTCGTGGATATTCATCAATCGTGATTGGCGAGCGGCCGGAGGTGTTGGGGTGGCCGATGCTGTTAGCACTTGATTGGGAGATCCAGAATTGTGCCTAGAGGTGTGGACCGATTTTTGACGGACGTCAAATTTATTGTTGCTGAATGTTTAAGTCAAGAAACTCGAAAGGACGAAATACCATGCTGCCTTTCGGTGTTAGGGCTGTTTGAAGACGACGAATAATATTGCTGAGCCTATAAACTAACGGCGTACCCGGCACTACATGTTCGGGTTTCGGCTTCGGCCTTTGGATCCTTGGTACTAGACAATAGCGCTTAAAGTTATTACCAATGGATGTTAATATGAAGGCACTATTATTATTAGGCAGGTACCTCCGTAGTGTTTTACCATTTACTTCCAAGTAGAAGGTTGACGGTGGCGAATCGTTACCTTGAACTCCAGTCTTCTGAAGTAAATGAAACATTTCATATGAAGAGCAAAGGCACTATAGAAACCACTGGTCTAAAAGAATTCGGAGGAAAATATCCGGATGCTAATCACGAATGATTATGCTGCCCATCCTCGACTCTAGTCAAGCTTGTGTGATTTTTTTGTTTACTTCGTAATGGAAAGCTATTGTCGGAGAGAAATCTGAAAACATAACAATTTGATAAGCAGAAGGGTGGCAAAGACCTCGAAGACGTCAAATAGACCAAACAGTATCAACTTTAGACTAGAGTGGAAGGTTCTGTCAAAAAAAGGGTCCGGAAGAGAACACCTCGCTTCAAATCGACGCTAACGCCACCCCTGCCAATTATCTTCTGCCACCAAAGGCAATATCAAAAAAAGTTATAAAGGTCAACTCTGGTAGGAAAAGCAACTTCTCTACTCTTCCTCCTTCTTCATTTGCATTTTCCTTGAAGGAACATAGCCGCTCTCTTTCACCATAATACCCGATTTTGCGAGAATCGCGAAAAGACCAGCGTTGAATAACAGAGTCTCAGCCGGCGCATTTGCATCCTGCGCTCGACTCCTCCGCCAATCCCTGTTCAGCTTGCTTAGCGCCCTTTGAAATTTCTTATCGCACAAAAATCCCACTCCCACCGCCGCCCCTCCTTAAGATGCCTTCAACCGTCTCTGATTCCACCACAAATCCATCTTCAAACGCAAAGATGGCGGAAAACAAGAACAGCGTCAAGATTCTCGATGAGTTGATGGCCAAGCTGAACATCAGCAAAGCTCAGGAGGACATCAACGCTGCGACATACAACCTCGCAACCTTCATCAACGGTTCGATCGAGGAGAAGGATGCCCCAACAAAGTATGTACAGGACTTTTCTTTTGTATTTTCAACATGAGACGACTCTGCGAGGTTTCTACGACGAAGATTTGCCCATATCAGTGTGCAGATCGGGGTTGTGTTGGGTTTTCCTCTTTGGGGTGGCAACATTGGAATTGCAATGCTCAAATTCACAAAATTGCAAAAAATCGAAATTTCGCGATGCTGACTTTATTTCTCTACAGGACCGTCGAGGTGCTGAAGAAGCAACTCGCCAGCAAGAAAGATGCTGCTGCTCGTGAGCGCGCGCTCAATGCCATCCAGGCCATTGCTGAGCACCAAGACACCTCCGCCCATGTCGAACCATATCTCGTTGTCCTTCTCCCAGCAGTTCTCGCCGCTGTTGGCGACAAGATGGTGCCAGTCAAGAACGCAGCCAACTCTGCTGCTCTTGCAATCGTCAAGGCTACCAACGCAAACGCCGTCAAGGCTGTTCTCCCACCGATCATCAACTCTATCCTCACAGCACAAAAATGGCAGGAAAAGATCACTGGTCTCAGCTGTATCGAGGCTCTGGTAGCCTCATGCCCTCTTCAACTCGCTTTCCGCGTTCCGGATCTCATTCCAGTCGTTTCAGAATCTATGTGGGATACAAAGCCAGAAGTCAAGAAGATGGCTTATGGTACCATGGAGAAGGTCTGCGGGTTGATCGTCAACAAGGATATTGAGCGTTTCATTCCAGAACTGATCAAGTGTATCGCCAAGCCAGAGAATGTCCCAGAAACCATTCACTTGCTCGGTGCGACCACTTTCGTTACTGATGTTCACGAGCCAACCCTCGCCATTATGGTTCCTCTGCTGGATCGTGGTCTTACCGAGCGTGAGACTGCTATCAAGCGAAAGTCTGCTGTTATTGTCGACAACATGTGCAAGCTGGTCGAGGATCCTAACATTGTTGCCGCTTTCTTGCCAAAGTTGATGCCAGGTCTCACCAAGAACTACGAGAATTTGGCTGATCCAGAAGCCCGTGAAAAGACCAAGCAAGCCCTCGACACTCTTACCCGTGTTGGAAATGTTAAGGACGGGAAGATTCCAGAAGCATCCCATGCTGGTGATGTGAGCACTGTCTTCACTCATTTGAAGACCGTCCTCGAATCCGGAAAGCACAAGGCTGCCATCGCCAAATTCGAGCCAATTCTTCACTACACAGCCGCTATTGCCGGTCAGTTGATCGACGAGAAGGATGCTGACAGTTTCAGCTGGACCACCAACCTCAAGCCATATGTCGCTGCAGTCTGCGGTGACAACGATGCTGAGGATATTGTCAATTCTCTCCGAAAACGCGCATCACCAGGCGCCGAGGAGGAGGATGCTGAGGAGGCAGACGATGAGGAGGGAGAGGATCTCTGCAATTGCACATTCAATTTGGCATACGGTGCCAAGATTCTTCTAAACCAAACACATCTCCGTCTCAAGCGTGGTCAGCGTTACGGTCTTTGCGGTCCTAACGGATCAGGAAAGTCTACTCTCATGCGCGCCATCAACAACGAGCAAGTCGAGGGTTTCCCAAAGAAGAGTGAAGTCAAGACAGTTTTCGTGGAGCACGATTTGGATTCCGCTGATACTGAGCAAACCACCATCGCCTGGACCATGAAGAAGTTGGCTGAGGTTGGTGTCAAGACTTCCCAAGAAGACGTCGAGAAGCAATTAGGCGAATTCGGTTTCACACCTGAGATGACCAGCAACTTGATCACCGCTCTCTCTGGAGGATGGAAGATGAAGTTGGCTTTGGCTCGTGCTGTTTTCGAGAGCCCTGATATTCTCCTTCTTGATGAGCCTACTAACCACTTGGATGTCAAGAACGTCAAGTGGCTTGAGGAATACCTCCAGAACTCTCCATGTACATCCATCATCGTTTCCCACGACTCCAGTTTCCTCGACAATGTCTGCCAACACATCATCCACTACGAGAGATACAAGCTCAAGAGATATCGTGGTAACCTTAGGGAGTTCGTCAAGAAGTGCCCATCTGCCAGATCTTACTACGAGCTTGGCGCATCTGAGATCGAGTTCAAGTTCCCAGAGCCAGGTTTCCTCGAGGGTGTCAAGACCAAGGCCAAGGCTATTGTGCGTGTCAACAAAATGAGCTTCCAGTACCCAGGTACACCAAAACCACAAATTCAAGACATCACCTTCCAGTGCTCTCTCGGATCCCGTATTGCCGTTATCGGACCAAACGGTGCCGGAAAGTCCACTCTCATCAACGTTCTTACTGGTGAACTCATCCCAACCTCTGGTGATGTTTACACCCACGAGAACATCCGTATCGCCTACATCAAGCAACACGCTTTCGCACATATCGATCACCACTTGGAGAAGACTCCTTCCGAATACATTCAATGGCGTTTCCAGACTGGTGAGGATCGTGAAACTATGGATCGTGCCAACAAGATCGTTACCGATGAGGACGAGAAGGCTATGGACAAGATTTACAGAATCGAAGGTTCCCAACGTCGTGTCATTGGCATCCACTCCCGACGCAAGTTCAAGAACTCTTACGAGTATGAGTGTTCTTTCGCTCTTGGAGAGAACGTCGGCTTGAAGAACGAGCGGTGGATACCTATGATGACCGCCGATAACGCATGGATCCCTAGAACCGAAATTTTGGCATCCCATCAAAAGATGGTTGCTGATGTTGATCAAAAGGAAGCTCTTGCCAGTGGTCAATTCAGACCTCTTGTCCGAAAGGAGATTGAGTCTCACTGTGCCAACTTCGGTCTCGATGCTGAGCTTGTTTCTCACTCGCGTATGTTGGGTCTTTCTGGAGGTCAACGTGTCAAGACTGTCCTCGCTGCATGCTCATGGCAGCGACCTCACTTGATCGTTCTTGACGAGCCTACCAACTACCTTGATCGTGATTCTCTTGGCGCTCTTTCAAAGGCTCTCAAGGCCTTCGAAGGTGGTGTTATCATCATCACCCACTCCGCCGAGTTCACAAAGGATTTGACAGAGGAAGTCTGGTCCGTTATCGATGGGCGCATGGTCGCGACAGGACACAACTGGCAATCTGGTCAAGGTTCTGGACCTCGTCTAAAGGGCGATGATGATGACGAGGAAGAGAAATTTGATGCCATGGGTAACAAGATCGTTTCTACCAAGAAGGCCAAGAAACTTACCTCGGCTGAGCTGCGAAAGAAGAAGAAGGACCGCATGGTAAGAAATAGCTGCTTCTCCGGTTTCCATGAACATATGCTAACTCATAACAATAGGCTCGACGAAAGCGTGGAGAGGAGGTTTTCTCTGATGAGGACGATTAGATTATGTGTGACTTCAAAACGGAAAAGAATTGACTGGGCACGGTTTGTGCATTTGGACGGAATGGAGTTAGCATTGTTTTATGTCTGCCCAAAATCTTTGGGGATAGAAGATAGATCAGCGAATAGATTTATTAAAATTGTACACATCTCAAAAGAGTGCGGTTTTGGCTATATTGCAAACCGCTACGCAGTAGTAGAATCATTGTGACGATTGAAAATAATTTTGTCGGTGAGGAGGTGTGTAACCTCATCTTGGGCCTCGAAGAAAGCCAACATTGGCCATCGATTTGTCCTGCTGTATCTAAATATATAGTGGAGACGACTTGGTGGCTTTAAGTCACCTATTCGATAGTTAGAGTCTAGTCAGTTCTTCTTACCTCGAGTTCAATTAATCCTCACCTAAAGTCAAATGCACTGCGCGTCATCAAATACTAAGCGAATGCGAAGAACAAGTAGCATTTCTGGCGGGCCGAGACGACAAGATATACCCCGTTACTTTAAAGGATTTCTAAAACTATAATTCTAACAATCAAAAGTACAAAAATCGATCAATCGCCGGATCCTGGCGTCAATATCACAAAGTCGCGGTTAATGCCGGCCAGCAATCTGTAATGTCGCCAAAGATCGAAGAGCTTCTAGACAGCGAATGTTCTCTTGTAGCACGACGATAAGATAATTTCAGGATCAAGATTCCCGAATAATGACAGATAAAGTATGTGACACTTTATCGTTAAATGGAAGAGGTATAAGCTTCTAATTTGCAATTCTTGAGTCCAAGTTCTCGATGACCGCTAAGGGCGTCAGTAGTGCATTTTAAGCGAGTGCGATGCCACTAGAACTATCGTGACCTGACACCAAACAAACGCGGCACACAACGAGGAGAATGCAACAATCATACCTGGAACGCTTTGCGTTTCTGGAGAACAACATGATAATGGCGCCAAAGAGTCCCCCGTCCAGACTTAAGCTTCCTGTCAACTGCGCCTCCAGTGTTCTATGCGAATGCGAAATGTATGTTGTCATTGCGCGCTCCAGGACATCGTGCAATCTCGAGTATATAAAACTCCCTTGACCTTCAAAGGAAGTATGTCTCATAATATTTCAGCAAGGTAACCATCAGTTCAGTCTTTTTCTATACATCTTAAGCCATCTTTCATAATGTCTGACTTCGACACCCCCTCTTGTCTGGCCTACGACGCAGAAATCGGAAATGCATTCGGCTATCAGCCATCTCTCGCTGCCGGATTGACATTCACAATCTTATTTTTCCTCTCTTCATGTACGCATCTGTATCAGGCATGGCGGTATAGGTCGTGGTGGTTGCTACTTTTCGTTGTCGGTGCGGGATGTGAAAGTCTGGGGTGGATAGCCAGAACGGCAGCGCATTATTGCGCTTATTCGACGGATATGTTTACGATGCAGATTGCGCTTTTGGTTTTCGGTATGTCAAAAAATCTGAGTTATATGAATCAAACTGACATTCAATAGCTCCCGCATGGACGACAGCCGGAATCTATGTCATCCTCTTCCGCATGATCCCCATCGTCGGCGAAAGAAGCTCGCCAATTTCAGCCAAGACATGTCTTTTCGTCTGTCTTGGTATCGACATCACCTCCCTAGTTTTACAAGCAGTCGGTGGTGGACTAGCCGGACAAGCATTCAGCTCCGACGTCGACACCAAACCCGGGACATATACTATTGTCGCCGGTATTCTCTTCCAGCTCGTTGCAACGTTCATCTACACAGGACTCATGAGCATCGTCTTCTTCCGCGCCTCGAAACCTATTCTGGCTAGTAAGCCATTAAGATGGCTGGCGTTTGCCACGACCCTCACGGTGTGCTGTATGATTGCTCGAAATGTTTTCAGGAGTGTAGAGTTGTTGGAGGGATGGACGGGACATTTGCAGACTACGCAAGGTTATATGATTGGTCTGGATGGATCTTTGATGTTGCTTGCTGTGATAGTGTTGAATATTGCTCATCCTGGGAGGTTACTCAAGAATGCGGTTCGTGAGAAGGAGGAACGGCTGCCGAAGCTTGAGCGGATGGGTTCTGATGATGAAGCAAGAGACGAAGGGAAAGTGAGCGATGCAGTATAGTCATAGTTGGCGAGCGATTATTTTCAGAATGGCGTGAATTGGGAGGTTGTTTTGTACCATGTGGCGCAAGGTGATTATAGAGTTTCTATAGTAATTTTAAATTTCTCTATTCCAGGCTTCGAGCCATAACATGGATTCCCGTTACCGATCCACGACATCAAAGATCTCTTACGCCTCATTCTTTTCGTATTAGTTTGATGGAAGTAATTGAAGCAACTCGCTGGTTCGTGATGCCACCTTGAATGATGTTGTTTGGATGCTGGCCCGCTTCGCTCGCCTTCGCTCTTGCCGCGGGTACTCGCCCACAAGCCGAATAGAGTTACTTCATCATATCTTCCTGAAACGCAACATCTCGAGCAGCATCCTGACAGTTTGTTGTGTCACGGATAATTCGACTTGCGATCTATGCTTCGTTAATGAACTCTGGTCATTTCCAGCTCAGCAGAGATGGCAAATAACAGAGAGCTCGAGTGGGGTTGGATCCTGAACTCTTTGAAGCACTGCACCACGAGAGACTATGAAGAAGACAGAATATATCTCGAGTATTGGCACGACGAGACTACACAACCAGCACAGCCTATACGACAATCTCGACCACCCCTCCCTCAACGCAGCCAACGACTACAGCCAAAATATGGCCGCGAAAGGAGGTGGAGGAAGTTGCTTATTCGTCGGGCTCGAAGATCAGGATATTTTTGCGACAAAAGTTTGGTCATTCCGACGAAGTCCTGTTCAATGTATTGCTGTTGTCGCATGCTTTCTGGGAATGCGCCCCTTATGTCTGGTTCGGCTGGAAGTGCTCAGATCTTTACGTCGCTCCCAACATGGGCGAATCAATCCTCCAAAAGCGAGTTGGTCGCATCGAGAGATCCTAGTTTGCAATGGAATGACCTTGAAACTATACCTTTCTCTACGAACACTCCACCGTCGCCTTTCAATTCAATTGAGAGCCAGCTGGATGGCTCATCAGATCTACCACTACAACACGAAGGAGCGAGCTCAACTACCTCTATGGCGACAATTGGTGTAAGGAGAAAGGGTCATAAGCCGTTGCAGACAACTATGAAAGGCTTTATCCCCAAGTCTTCTCCAGGACAACGTCGGAAATCCAAGATAAACCTCGTAGAGTTACGCAGCGAACGGCTTTTGGACCTGAGGAATCCACATTTGGAACTTTCTCCTGTGGGGTGGAGCGTGAAGTCTACCAAGGGCGATTCCACTAAGGGTTCTGTTCAAAGCGTCGAAACGCTTGGCAACATCAGCTTATCTACTGGGACAGTGCCAACTACAACAACCCCAAATCTGCCAGCTCAGTCGCGATCGCACCCGCTTCTAGAAAAATGCGAAATGTTTGACACTGTTTCTGAACAGTTTTTGACGAACACGAACCCGATACTGGCTGCGGCTGATGATGAATGCCATGATCCATGTTTCACTACATTGTTGACCAACGATACTACTCAAATATCCAAGAATTCGGATCTGGAAAATGTTTCATCCAATGCCAAAGCACCACAGTCAAATGGAATGTCAGTGAGCGAGATATCTTCCCGACTCTCGTTTGAATCTGGCTTACACTCCAATCCAAATACAGAGCAGACTTTATGCGCTTCGGTAATCCAAGAGTCAAACCTCAACCCCTCCAGTAAAATACCCCTCTGTGGCGCTCAACATGGTCAGTCTTGGTCCAAACTATCTCCAGAACATAGGGGGGAAACTTTCCCCATTAAATCAGTCAACGAGTATCATCTTCAAGAAATTCCTATCTTTAGAATTGCTCAACGAATCGAAAGAGATCCCCCAGCTTTAATTTGGCCGAAAAACAGGCGTGATGGATATTGGGAGTGGGATGTGAGTAAGTTACGTGGAACTTGCACCTGTACAGAACAATTGATGTTGGAACGAACCAGAGTAAGTCGGGATCTTTGCCAAGATATTTGCAAAGATAGAAGTCTGACTAGAATAGCATCTTTTCATCTGGCTCGCCGCTAAGTTCCTTGAATATGCTAGAAGTGATGAGCCGCCTAGATGCGAAGAGGTATTCACAAGCTTCACATGTACTCATGCCTCATATCTAACTCCAAGCGTAGTGCGACATCTGGTTCAACATACAAGATTGTAGGCTGATATCGCAGATTGACGACATCCGTTTAACATCATATGGCTGTCGGTTAACTCCAGGCTGCTTAGCAGCAGCAACATATACAATTCGTAAGCATAGACCAAAAGTGTTCAGAATCACCGTCGAATTACCGATCGATCTAAAACTGAAGATCATTACCAGGAGCGAGGTCAGCGAAATGGTTCACTGTTTCAAGACTCTCGAAGACATGTTGCCACGAAGCGAGAGATTAAGAGTAATTGGCCTTGAGAATCACTGTAGACTCGCAAGTAGATGGTTATCGCGTCAACGTGGAAACCGTGTTGGCTATTTCTCTTCTCCAAGGGATACTGCTCCGATACATGGTTATATACGGGACTTTCGGTTTAGTAGCTCGATGGATCATATTGTAAGCAACCACAATACTTTGGTTTCTGATAACACTCTTGTATATCGAGCGAAGAGTCTTCCCCATATTCGGGGGAATCAGAAATAATGTTAATGTGTATAATGATGCTTTGTTCGCAGGTCCTGTGGTTGTTTAGCGAGAACTTGGATGTTGTGGATTGATTTTGTTAATTTGTAATGTGAAGTCGATGTTGTGATGATGGTTTCTGTTTAACCTCTGTGCGATACTTATTAATGTAACTACGGACTGTTTCATAAAAGAGTTTTATATGTAATTACATGTCGGCTCTCAAATAATAGTAAAGTTCATGTTTTTTCTATCTAGTATCCATCGCACGGAGTGACGGAGACGAATATGTGATACGCCTCTAGGTTTGTTAATTGGTACCAGAAGATGCGCCACCGTTGATTGTAATCCTTAATAGCTAAGCAAGCTTATGATTTAACACTACTTTGAATCACACGTCTTTGAAAAATAAGTGGACAGTAAGCGAGCTGTTAGGTCGTTTGACTTATAATTTGTAATTAAGAGTAGGTATGCAATTTTCTTTTTACCTAGATCTTGAATATAAATGAGTTGCTGAAAACATGAGACGGAATACACAATGTTTTGTCAACTTGCAGAAATAGAAATTGGTATTCGCGTAAGATACTAAGATAGATGCCAAGCCGGGATGGACCCACTTCAGTATCGATGGCATGCCCCTATTCGGAACGAAGCGAGGCTCCAATGCAGAACACCAGACGACAAGGCTAACATGCACGGCGCATCTTCAGCCCAATTCGAACGACAACAACCGCCATTCCAATGCGTAACACTCTTTGAAGTACGGCCACTCTAGCAATTGGCATTCCCAATGCTTCAAGTACACATTCGATGACCTTTCTCCCGGCGACTCTGATCCCAACCATCATGGCATCCGCATCCTCCTCGAACCCCGCGATCCAGAAATCAGACGAGCTGCTTCCTCCCCCCGAGCTGTCGCCAAACTCGAGCCATACGTCGCATACGATTTTGACGCCCGAAGATGATTCTGAGGATGAGGACGAAGAGGAGGGGTATAAGATGCGCAGGTTGAGTGGGGAGGGGAGGGAGAAGGTGTGGGATGCTGAGGAGGATGCGTTGGAGGAGAGTGAGGAGGAGGAGAGAGATGCGGGGAGACGGAGGAGATTGAGTAGGTCGAGTGTGGAGAGTTATAAACTTTATACGCCGGATGAGGAGAGGGAGGTTGTAAGGATTTTTGATAAGAAGTTGGTTCTGTTTGTCGCATTGCTTTATATGCTTTCGTTTTTGGATCGCAGTAGTAAGTCTGCCTCAGAATCATATGGATGTATCTGACTGGATTAGATATTGGGAATGCGAAGATTGCGGGGTTAGATCTGGATTTGGGTCTTGATACTGTGAGGTACCAATGGGTTATCACGGCGTTTTATATTGCGTATATCTGCTTTGAGTGGATGTCGATTTTGTGGAAGATTATCCCGGCACATATCTATGTCACCGCGATCGTGTTGTCCTGGGGTATTGTCGCCTCGTTACAGTCTGTCGCCACTTCATTCGAAGGATTGTTGGTTCTGCGGGTACTTCTTGGAATCGGAGAAGCAGGATTTACTGGAATACCCTATTACCTTTCATTCTTCTTCAAACGAGAAGAACTAGCCCTGAGAACGGGCTACTTCATCTCGGCAGCTCCTCTTGCAACCAGCTTCGCAAGCTCAATAGCATGGGCAATCATCTCACTCGGCAAGCACTCACCTATTGCATCCTGGCGTCTCCTCTTCCTCCTCGAAGGCTTCCCCAGCGTCCTCGTCGCAGTAATAGCATGGCACATCATCCCCGACTCCCCCTCAACAGCACCCTACCTAACCCGCCGCCAAAAGCGAGTCGCATACCTCCGTCTTCGCTCTGAAGAAACACCACATTCCCATCCCTCCTCCTCCCACCTCAACACCTCCGACATCCTCGACACCATAACCTCCCCGCGCATCTACCTAACAGCCTTCATCTTCTTCCTCACAAACCTAGCCTTCTCCTCCCTCCCCGTCTTCCTCCCCACCATCATCCACGAAATGTGGCACACAGTCTCAACCTCGCAAGCCCTCTCCGCCCCACCATACCTCTTCTCCTTCCTCATCGTCATCCTCACCTCTTGGGCAAGCGACAAATACCACACCCGCTCCCTCTTCATCATCCTGCACGCCCTCATCTCCGCATCCGGCTACGCCCTCCTAGCGCTCTCCCCAACCCTAAATCTCTCCTCCGAAATCCGCTATCTCCTCCTCTTCCCCGCGGCCTCCGGCTTCTTCTCCGTCGTCACGCTCACTATAACATGGAGTATCAACAACGAACCCTCGTCATCCGGACGCGGTGTCGGGTTCGCGATTCTGCAGGTTATAGGACAGTGCGGACCGCTTGTCGGGACGCGGTTGTATCCGGATGAGGAGGCGCCGTATTATGTCAAGGGCATGGGGGTTTGTGCTTTGAGTATGGTGTGTGTGGCGATGCTGGCGGGCGTGTTGAGGTTTTGGTTGGCGATGAAGAATAGGGAGATGGAGGGGGGACGGGGGAGTATGCTAAGCTTGGTGGGGGTGGGGGGAGGGAGAGGGAGAGGGAGTTTAGGTATTTACTTTAATTTGGGTGTTGAATATTAATTTATACATACTTCGTGTGGTTTGGCTATATGATACGGTGTTTTTTACATTGGAGTAGTACTTTACCCGACTATTTTCTTTACATCCATCTAGCACAGAGTCGGCCTTATAATAGAAGCACCGCTCTTCATTCCGCAGATGTATCCACTGACGAAGGGACGTCTTGTCAATCGCCATTAGCTTCAATCTTATCTAGTTCTGTGTTCTAGCCTTGCCAGCACCTCATAAATTGCTTTCTGGAATAATCAAGATAAAGAATAACACTTGATACAACTTAATCTACTTCAAATTCTGTATGTACCCTTTAAATCAGAGCTGTGTTGTAAGATTGACAGGACACTATCTCAGTGTTACCTTACCATGTCCGAAAACGAATTTGTAACATGTCTCCCCGAAGAGATATATTTAGTCGTCACATTAGAGGCAATGGATATTCGGGCACTGGGATTAATCTAATATATCATTTTAGACTAATATCCTTATTCTGCCCTGAAGAGATGCCTCGTTAGACTTACAACATACTCATAAAAGCTTTAGAAAATTCAAATCTACATTTATTTCACAATCAAATCTCGACACATTCTCAGTACCAGTCATCAAGCAATCTGCAAATCTCACGGTACCGTGTGCAGCCTTTCTCTCGCAAGACAAGACTTCTCGTGATTGACAGTATACGGTGCAGAAGCACTTGGTCTATTCTGGTTCAACCTTTTGGATTGCTTGTTAAGTTATCGAGAATGAGGTGTAGTCATGTTGTGTTCTTGAGAGTCAAATTTGACGACTCGGTAATTCGATTGGGGAAATGTACCATGTTGTACCGTCTAGATCGAGGTTTTGCTATTTTACTCTTGCTACTATGAGGGATGGTTAGCTCGTCAGTTCGAGATCTGATTCTGCGCTCGTTCGGAAGGATGAAGTTCAACGGATGAGTTTATGCTATGTTTGGATGCTTCAAACATTCCAATTTTGTGATCTTACATTTGAGATCTGCTCTAATCTATATTTCATACATACATCCATCTACATTCTACACCCTATCATACACCCCTCACCCACTACCCCCATAAAATTACACACCCCACACTACATCCCCCAAATCTCCTTCCACCTCCCCCTATCCCCCTCAATCGGGCCATCCAACACCCCCATCCGAGGCGGCTTCCCGGTCGTCGCATCCGGCAAACAAATCCAATTCCTCACGCTCCCCGGAATCTCCTCAGGAACATGACTAACCACAACCAACGCCTGCTCATCGCTCAACCCCCATATCGCATCAAAATTCAAAGATTTCATCTCGCTATCCACGATGCTGCGCTCGCCGTTCTCGTGCGTCCTGTAACGTTTCAGCTCGCCGTGCGCGAGGAAGAGGAGACATCGGTCGCGCACCATGTCGTCCATGCCGGAGAACGCCTCGTCGAGGATGACGATGTCGGGCTCCTTGACGATGGCGCGGAGGAAGAGGAGGACTCGTTGGGCGCCAAAGGGGAGGGCGCCGAAGAGATTCGTGTCTGCCCAGCTGGTGTCGCGGGATATATGTTGTGAGACTAGGTTTTTGAGCGTTGTTATGTTTTGAGCTTCTGTAAACCATGGGCTTGGGGTGAAGACGAGTGGGGTTTCTGCGGCGGTGGCGCCGGGGCGGAGGTCTTGTTCAAACCAGATGAGAAATCGGTTTATGCGTTTGCGGATTCTGTCGTCGAGGGTTGGAGGACCGCGGAGGGTATCTGAGTAGGCGTTCTCGATAACTTGACGGATGGTTAGGGAGCGTGGGATGTGGTTGTGGATTTCGGGTGAGGATTGTCCGATTCGGGATTGAAGTTCGAAGATCGAGAGAGCTGGCTTTCCTGGTTCAGAGAGGCGTGATCGTCCAAATATTTCGATGGGAAGGGAGTAGGCTTTTGGGTGATCCGAGGTGATTAACGAGAGTAATGTGGTTTTGCCAGATCCGTTGGGTCCAAATATGCCCCAGCGTTGGCCACGTAAAACTTCCCACCACAGACCGGGTTTCACCTCGCCATGGATGGGTTGTGACCAGTTTCCGAGAACTGTTTTCTCGCCATATGATATGACGGCACCTTTCATGTCTATCAATTTTTCAGTCTCAGGGGAATATTGAGGCTCGAAATCAAGCATAGGATATCCATCTCGACTAAGGGGCTGATCGGTAGGTCCAGTAAGAGAAATTGAGTGGTTGCTTTCTTTCGCGATTCTACCAGCAAGCTCAGTGGCCGTTTTAGCTTCTGTAGCACCAATGTGCTTTTCCTCAATCCCCGTATCTGTCAAGACCCGTCCCACCTCTAGCATCGAATGAATCGGCATTTCAGGATCATGACGACGAAATCGACCTATACGAACATTCTCACACCACTTCTTCATCTTTTCTAAAATGAGGTGTTTCTCCCCAATATAACCAATTTGGCAATTTCCCTTCAAGTAGATGATATCTGTAATCCAATCCGGGATAGGGTCTTGAGGTCGAAGCGTCAGAAGTAATCGTGGCCTACTCTTCTCTGCCAGCTCTCTCAACATTGGGCTCAGCGTGAGTAACGTCGGAGGATCCAGCCCCATGAAAGGCTCATCGAGCAACAGGAGACCCGGTTTACCGAGTAGAGCCTTGGCGATCCTAGCTCGTCTCGTCTGTCCGTTGCTTAGATTCGAAATCGGCATGTCGAGTAAGTCGGTCAATCTCAAACTTTTCGCCACACTGTACAACGTCTGTTCATTGACCTTTTCCTTCAAATCTTCAAAAGCATTCAACTCGGTATTCCCTCTCAAGTAATCACGCAGACTGAAGTCCTCAATCTCCCTTCTAGACTCATACCTAGCACTTAAATAAGCTCCTTTAGGTGCTTGACCAAGTCCCTGTTCCCCATCAAATCCCACCCTCTGAATCGCCTGGCTAAGAGGGGTTTCCATCCCGCTACGCTCAAATAAAGGCCATTTAACCACGCCCTTAGTCCCAGCCCCAGGAGTCGAATGAAGACGTCCCGAAATAGCCTGCAGAAAAGTCGTCTTTCCAGATCCGGAAGGTCCAATGATAGCCCAATGTCTAGGACTTGCATGGACTACATCATCTTCAGTAGAGCCGTCTCCTTGACGCGCCTTGGCGTTTACAAGCGCAAAGGTCAAATCCTTGAAGAGCGGCGGATTGCTACTTTCAGTATCTGAGATTGATCGAGGAAAATGGCGGTAAAAAGTAGCTTCTTGGATTTGGATCATCCGTAAATTCCGCTCCCCTTTCCTGATTCTTTCCTCTCGTCTCCGCTCCCTCTTCCTGTCACTTACCGGGGGGTTCATCTCATGGGGATCATCAGATTTCCAATCACGATTGAATCCATCTGACGTTTGAACTCGTGCATTTCGCTCCGCCCAAATCCCCCTCCTTTGCCAAACAGGAACTCCGGTTTCGCTCGAAATTTGATCAGAGTCAGTCGTTTGTTGATTACCCTGCATTTCAGACCCCTCAGGACGATCAGATCTCTCCCGTCCAAGAGATAACCGATAAGAACGTTCTCCAACCCATTGTCGCAGTGGAATTCCCGTCGTTGGATCACTCAATATTTCCCCGGGAGCTCTCTCCGCTGTCCCAGGTACCCGGAAGAAAGCAAATCCATCTTTTGGAGGTTCCGTAGTTGGGTCACTCGAAGTGTTCTCGTCTTTCTCTCCCCAATTTCTGTTTCTTCCGACATCTAGTCTCCTAAAAGTATACCCATCTGGCACTTCAATCCCCGTACTTCGCCATCCAGTTTTAGACCTATCAGATTGATCTTCAAATCTCTTTTGCCCAGGTAACGCCCTCCGAATCTTATACACAGGGCGTGGATCATTCCTTTCAAGTCTAGGAGTGCTCGACAGATGTCGAAGCCATGATTGGGAACACCCGATTCCTATCCAGGTGATCCTCCCGGTCCCATGAGGCCGTCGCAACAGGACTCCCAGCTGCCGATTCATTGTTGTTGGGCCATCTACAATGATGATGACTTTTGATGCAAAACTCGTGATAAAGTCTGGGGTGCACGGGCGAGGCCCCACTTTTGCGGCTGTTACGGTGGGTGTTAAGTGCTTGGGTGGTAGTTTGATACACGTCGTCTCGTCGCCTGGAGCTTGAGCTCTACAGCTTCGATTTCTCACGACTACAAGTTTAACTACCTCCACCTCGCGATCAACAATTCTCATTGCGCCAGACACAATTGTTTAGACTCAAACTCAACACTTGAAAACGAGCTCACGCTCCAAATAAAAGCCATCATGGTAAGCTCCCATCCATTCTATTAACACCATACACCCAGCACATGCATTTCCCATAACCATCACCTTCTTCCCAAATCAACCCTCAACCCAATGCTAACACCCTCAGTCCATGCGCATCGCCCCCCTCCCCTCCCACACAACCCAAATCTCAACCACCTCCCTCTCCGCCCCCTCCGCCCCAGGCCTCCACGACACTCTCCGCGCCGGCGTCGGTCCCACCAAATCCACGTCGACCACCACCTCCGGCACACCAGATAGCGCGCACCCGTTGGAATCCCGCCTCAAGAACTGGGAAGCGACGCAGGAGAGCCTGAAGATGACGGGGTTGCGTAGGACGTTCGGGATGAGCGAGGCTGTGAGACGCGGGATGGAGTTGAAGATTGTGGGGGAGGGCGCTTGGAGACCTGCTGTTTTGGGGGGGAATGGTCGTGGTGAGTTTGTGCTTTCTAGTTCTGTGTGGATGGTGGTGGATGATCTGAGGGCATGGGGAATGGAGAAGATGAAGAAGGAAGATATGTGGGATATGGGCTAACAAACTATCCCAGGTGACCTCCACGAAGACATTCTAAGAGGAAGAGATACCGAGATTGTATGGGAGGATATCTTCACCGGGGATGAGTTGAGGACGATTCCGGGTTTCCACGATGAGATGGAGAGGAAGGTGAAGATGCAGTAAGGGGTTATGATGTGCAGTGAAGACGTGCAATAGGGGAGTGCTTTGTATGATGGAGGAAGAAGGCTTTAGCGGTGGAAAAAAGCGAGAGCGAGCTTGTAATACCAATCTGGACTTTATAAATGACTGGTGGCGTTGACAGGATGGAATGTGCCATACATGATCAACTGTTAAGTCACAATTACTGCGAGGCCAAAGGAATACGTCTTCATCACATTGTGCTTTCAGCAGATCGTAAGAACACCAACTTCCATATACACCAGCACCCAAACATCGATATGAATCTGTTTAGAAAGGTGAAAAAAGACCTAGCACTCTTTATAGTTCTTCCCCCTAACATAACAAGAACACATCCAATCTTTCTTTGATTATTTCACCCTGTAGGTTCACGTTTGGCGTAGTCCCAACCTACCCAAGAGGGAATCCTTCTGCTCTGTTACATGGACGGTTATTTTCAATCTTAATGGAACACATTCGAAGAAATCATGGAGAAATGATAAGCCGTAGACTGCATTCTATCCAGATCTTCCCAAAACAATAGAACCATAACTAGAGACATCCATGAACCTCGATATATAACAAACCTAATGCTCCTTCCTAACTGTACACTTCTCCCACCTACTCCTAATCACCTGAATCGCGACCTTCAGTCGTTTAACTTCAAACTATCTCCCGCTCTCAACTGCCTCCCGTTCAATCCTAGGATGAAATCACCATGCTATCCGCGGAAATGCCACTATATCCTCTTCTTCACTCGGTAGAAACACGACCAAAGGCAGACAAATCAATCCCTCGTATATCCCCAACGCCAAAATATTTCCGTCGCAGAAAACCGGTTCGAATCATTAAGTAGGGATCCCTTTCGTCGATGTATGTGAAACTAGCCTCGTTGAGCAAATATGGTAAAACGTGGAAAGAGAATGTAAAAGGCGTATGCTATAGTGATTTGGTGATCGAAAAGGTGGCTTTGAAGCGATCTAAATTTGACCAGAGAATTTATTGAACGACGCAACGACAGCCGGCATTGCTTTCGCCATCCCCTCTATCTCGACCCATGCCTTTGCCTTTCGAGGCGTCTTCTTCGTCGACGATGTCTTGCGGCCGGACGGTCATATGTACAACGTTGGCGGAGTCGGCGTTCAGTCTGCATTCTGTTGACGGCAGTGTTAGTATAATTTGAAAAAAGCCATTCAAACGAGAAATCAAGAACGATGGCCTCCCAACAGCCCACAAGTCTGCTGTAGACGTTTCCAGTCCAAGGAAACATGCCAGCTCAATGAAATCCCAGGTCTCGTCCTCTTGGTCAGAGAGATATTCAATGGCCACCGGAACATAGGCTCGGAGTCTTGAATTTAAAGAATACAACATACCTTTCAATGCAGTCTTATCGTCCAGTAATCTCCCAAAATAAATCAACCGTATGCTACTGGGACTGCTTGGTTGTGCTTCCCATTCTTCCCTCCATTCGCGCAATATTAATTCCTTCAGCGTGTACACGCTGATGCTAAACGGGTCCTTCTTTCCATTCTCCGTAACTCCCGGAACATTGACGTTTCGTTTCGTCAGATACTTTTCGTCGATTTTGTATGGATGGCGAGCCCCAGAAGTGAGCAGTAATGTTATGACCAACACTGGGCCAGCCTCAGTGGCCGTGGGAACGGTGGGCATGGTTTCTACAGAAGGACCGATGGCTACAGAATCGAGTCGAGACATTGTGGGAGGATTTGAAGCTGCGGCTGATGATGTGTTCTCGCCGTTAGTTGATGACGATAGGTCTGCGGGTGTTGCCTTAGTGGTAGCAGATGTTGCACCAACGCTACTTGACGGCGGTATATTTTCAACTCTTGTGTCTTTCACAGCAGATGCTGTCTCCGGCTGTATCGAGGTTGAGGCCGTCGTCGTAGGAAAAGTGGAATCGATGGGGGAGGAGTGAGGGATGGCAACGTCGTTCAAAAGACCACTCTGCGGACCTGCGCCGGTCGTGGGATTCTTCGAGACGCCCGATGCGTCCAGGTCGCTCATTTCCAAATTGCTCTCTGGATTTATCGATCGTGAGGTTGACGATGTTCTTAAAGCATCGGATGTCGTGTGTGTCGGCTGCTCGCCGTTTCCTACCGGCCTCGACGAGACTGGGTCTGCCATTGGTCGGGTGAATCTGGGGTCGCAGCAAAGTCCAATGCAGAAATGCAAGATTTATGGGGGAGGAAATTCCCAGATTGATGGCCGAATCGACTGTCAATGGGGAGGTGTTCAATGCTCGGGCCACGACCCAGTCCAATGCGGCTGTTGCTGTAACGCAGACGATTGAGGCTGCTCGCAATCCGTTTTCCACGATGGATCTCGACAAAGAGGATGGGATTATCGGATGTAATGATATCGCTAGAAGACTTCAATCGATGCGGGAAGATGGGCAGATGCTGCGGCGAAACCACCAGCAAGCACGGAACAATTGACACGGGTCAGACCTTTCTTCCGTCGTATGCAGCCCAGATCTTGGGGTCAAACGAGGTGCTCTGGATGTTGGGTTCGAGGTTGATTTGCGATGATGCGGTTCGCTGATCGACGCCCTCCACTTGCTGCTGCCGAGCTACTTGGAACTAGGTATGATTGCGCATTAACCCCGACGAAGAACAGGCTTGGGAGCTGAGCTGCTGAAATGTTTTGGAAGGATGAAGATGCGAGTCTGTAGCGACCGAATGGATGAGAGATGAAGTATAGGTATTTCGAGGTCGAGATTATGCCTTTCTCGTCATCCGAAATCGTCCCGAAAAGAAACACAGTCTCCGTTGTTTCTTCCTTTTCTGGTCGTCGATATCCGGCGATAGTTCGATGCGACTGGGAACGGGAATCTGGGGACTCCTGCTCTTGGAAGCGGAGGCGGGCCGTATTCGCTTCGGACTTCAATCTGCAAACGTCTCGACGGTTGACGACTCCACCACTGAGCCAACCGTTACACGAATCCAACATCAGCAATTGAGCCTCATCAGAGATCTTGCGAGTGTGTATGGCTACATCTCTTTCTTTTCTTTGCTCGAGTACCGCCATTTCTCCAACGTCTACCTACAGCCTGCCAGACCGCTTCGAGCCGTCGAAGCATGCACATATGCGTCTCGTGGGTAGAGAGACACAGTAACTGGCAGTTGCTGTCAGTCCCACGACGCACCATCCTACTCCGCCTTCTTGTGTATACTTGAGTCACGCTGTTGGATTTCTGCTTGTCCAGCGTGGCATACAGTTACAGTGTGTTCCGCGAGGTTCGTGGCGCTATGCACGGTCCTGTGAGACGATGATGAGTATTATTATGCTCTACTGCAATTGAAGAACTTATCCATGTAAGTGTTTCCACCTACATTATACCATGTGTTTTATTTGATATCAACCTACACTTAGTTAATATGATATCTTTACACGCCTTGTTATTCACAGTAGGCATGTTACAACCCCCTACTTGCTCGCATTTCTTTTGCTCTCAGGTGGTTCCCTATTTGGAAACCAGTCTTCCCTTGGGATTGTCACATTAGGTTCATAAGGCAAGTGAACTATCCTTAAATCTCTTTCCCTTCCCACCATCATATATAAAGCGCAATATCCCTTGCCAGAAAATCTCCCTTCCACTGGTATGCGGCCGCTGCATCCGTACGAGCGGTACTTATTTCCCACGGCCCCAAACCCTTTCGCAGTTGATCAATGACATTTAAATCCCGCTCACTGAGCTCATATGCGGCCCTTATTATATCGAAAATGGAATTAGGATCGAAAAATGATGTCCAAGGAATCAATCTCTGAGCTGCCTCGCAATAGTCAAGCAGTAGCCGTTCGCTAAAGGCGAATCCTATATCAGTTCGAAGAACAATCGCCACGGCGTTAAATAGCTCAACAACATCATTCAATGCTCTATTCAACCTCGCATTATTTGTGCCGGGGTTCTGGATTATTTCCAAGTACCGCCCAAAGAGATTCACGGGACGCGGATCACCGAAAGTAGTGCCTTGAAACGGACACAAGTTCTGATAGAGCTGCACGCGGCTAAGGACCCAGTCTATTGCACCCCCTATATACACAGGGCTACCGACAAATTGCAATTGTTGTTGAAACCACTCCATTCCATGCACCACTCGATCGCCCCGATTTCTTGCCTCGTGGAAGACATTGGGTAGATGTTGGTGAACAAACTTTTGGTTGTATGTACCGACGAAGCCTGCGGATGTGATGATCATTCGAGGAGCGGCGCCTGGTCGGTATTTGACGAGTTGTTGGCTTTCTTGAGGGCGACCGGTGAGTCTGGTGTTGAGACATTGTCGGCATTTTGGCATTATGTGATTGAGATGATGGAAGTTTGGAAATAGAACTCTTGTAAGTTCCGCAAACGATGAGTAGTACAGGCTGAGGCTCTTGTTTTTGAAGTTTGTCTGAGGTGCTTTCCGGGTAGGAGAAGGGGAGACACAAATGGGCGTGGTGCCAGAGGGGTACCTCTCGCCTTATATACTGATCAAAAGTCATACAATGATTTCATAAACCTTGTTTGTTGCTGACAACAGGAAACCAATGATTAAAAGCAACTCCTACTGGCCACCATACCGGCGGATGACCGTTCAGGAGTTGCGTCACTTGAAAAATGTTTGCTAGCACAACTCATGCCAGCGTTTTCATGTGACAAGTCAACTTTGACTCGAATCAAGTGGACGGACCTTCTCCACGATAAAACCAAACTCGAGACTCACTTTGATAAGCTTTTCTAGTATGAATTACGGGCGGTTAGAAACGCTCGAGGTTGCTTCAACACATCTCTCCCGTCTTGTGTTGTTGACAATGGGGACCCCTGATATCACATGATAAGCGAGGTCAAAGGTGAGATCCAGATCGAGCACCTTCCCCCAGGCGTTAGTGGTCGACGGGTAAGCAAACAAGAAAGTAAAGGACTCGACTTCGGTTACCTCTCTTCGCATGCCTTGTCTATCACTTCCTTTAAACATCAAACAACATCCGTCGATCTACAACCCATTACACCCGAACATCAAGACTCATAATGGATTACTTCTCCGCGACGAGATCTCCGTCTCCATCTCCCGAGCTTCAGCTCCCTGAAACTCCAAAGGCGAAAAAGGGTTCCGCAAAGATCACGCCAAGCAAAGTAACAAAGCGCGGCCGCCCAGCAAGTACTCCTGGTATCGCAGGCACTCCACCATCAGCTCGAGGACTCAAGAACTCTCCAGTACCAAAGGTATGTTTGCCATGGAGTTCTATTCTAATGTTAGAACCTGACGAATTGATTTAGACCAAAGCCGAAATCCAACCGTACGACCAATTGGTTCTCGATTTACGAGCAGCCAACCCTCCGACACCATGGAAAGAGATCGAGGTCCTCTACAGAGAAGCGGGCGGTATAACTACAGGTGCTCAAGCTCTCAAGAATAATCGATACCCACTCCTCAAGGCTGCCGCCATCGAAGTCACTTCTGCAGATGTACGTTTTTCAATCATTCGCTCTGGCTCACCCTGACTTTTCTAGATTGCAAATTTGAAAACATCGGAAGCCGCGATCAGCGAGGAATGGGAGAAAGAGAGATGGGGACGTGTTGCTGAATACATGAAAACTCATTATGGGTCAGAGTGGGATGCCAAATTCGTTAAGAAGACCTTCGCTGGACTTCCAAAGACTACAGCTTGATTTTCATTTCTAATGGAGACATATCATTTGCGGCTACTGGCTGGGGCGGGGGTAGCTGAATGGAGTACTAGGATTTGCTAATGTGTAAGGTTATGATTTCTGAGCTTGATTCGAGGAATGAGGAAAACATATGTCAGCAGCGTTCATTTCCAAGGTTGTATTTAAACTTCTTGAGATTTCTATCCGTCAAGAACACAATTCCAAAATTTGATTAGCAAATCAAGTATTACGGATACCTACCTAATCACTTATGATCATTTTTACAAGCGAGTCCAAAGGTGAACCGAGGTGCCTACCTAAACATAACACTTACATCTTCCTCTTCTCACTAACGGCTAAGGATAAGTGACAGGCAAGGAGCCGACTTCGCTTATTTCAAACTTTACACAGCTCTTCCGTTCTTCCTCGCAACCATCACACAACATCAGTCATCTCGTCACATCAACCATCTTCGATCTGCAAACCACACGCAACGATAGAATACGCAGCAAAAATGGAGTTCTTCGACATAGACGACTCCGAGAGTCCAGAGTACCAGCTCCCAACCACCTCAAACATCAAAAAAGTCACCATGAAAGGCACGAGTCCAAACAAAGTCACGAAGAAAACTCCTATCTCATCGCCCAGCCGCGCCTTGAAAAACTCGCCAGTCCCAAAAGTCAGACCCCCACTCTTTCCTTTCACTGGTAATCTCTGACCTTTCAATAGACCAAGGCCGAGATCCAGCCCTACGACCAGCTCGTGCTAGATCTCCGCGCACGCAACCCACCAACCCCCTGGAAGGAGATCGAAACGTTGTACCGCGACGCTGGCGGAATCACGACAGGACATCTGAATCTCAAAGTCCGCATTGGCTTACTGGAGGCGCTTGAGGAGGAGATGACGGAGACTGAGGTGGGTGCGGGCTGGGTAAACTCGTGATTTAGCATGCTAATAAATTGGAGATTCAAGATCTGATAGCCGCGAAGCAAGCTGTTGAGGAGGAGTTCCAGAAACAAGTTTGGGGACTTGTTGCTGAGAAGTTGAAGGTTGAGAAGGGAAGGGAGTGGAATGCTAAGTTTTTGAAGAATACTTGCGATGGACTGAAAAAGGGTACTTTGTAGGGATTCTTGTTGTGTTTCATCTACACTTCTTGTGATCTCCTCAGTGGGATGCTTTGAACTCAGTTGGCGATGGGAAATGCTAGTATCTGGGAGAGTCGAGTTCTGAGCTGGATTTGAGCAGTGACGTACATATAAGCAGACACAGCTGGCAGCCGCACTCATTTTCCACAAGTACATTGATACAAGAAAAGGCCACAAATCATAGCAGTGAAATTAAATATGATCAAAATAGTCGATATCATTTTCCCCAGCAGGTCGCGTATTTTTCAGCTTTTTTTCTCAAGATATGTAAGAAGCCGTGTAACAAGCAAACTTCAAGGATAGATGACTTGACTTTTACATATCTGTCCAGGACTATCTGCCTAACTTAGCCACTTGCATATTCTCATTTTCAAGCGAGTCTAAAAGTGAAGAGCTTAATCTAAAAAATATCACTTACCCACATCCTCTCTTTCTTCTCATCTCAACATTGAACGCCCACCCCTTCGCACCACCCGATCTGTCTACCACAACCACCACAACTCACCATCATGGCCGAATTCTCAGACGAAACCATGTCGCTCAACCCAAGTGAAGACGACTTCACTCCCCAAACACCGAAGCAACGAAAGTCAAGTCCCAACAAAGTCGTCAAGCGCTCTCAAGCCACAACGCCTTCACCGGGAAGGGTCTTGAAGAATAGTCCTATGCCCAAAGTAAGTCTCCCATTGGCCCTCTCGTCAAGACTGTGTCTCCTCAACAATAGCCTAACCTACTTCGCAGTGCAAGAGTGAGATCCAAGCCTATGATCAAATCCTCCTAGATGCCCGCGCCGCCAATCCACCAATTCCATGGAAAGACATCGCGATTATGTATGAGAAGGCAGGTGGTATCACAACGGGCATGACGAACTTGAAGAATCATCGGTTTGCGGCCCTGAAGGAGGTTGCCACTGAAGCGAGCGCTGAAGATGTAAGTGACATTTCGACAAAGATCGCGGTATTTGTTGCTGATGTGAGCAGATTGAAATCATGGTCGCTGCACAGGCGGTCGTAGATGCGGAGTGGGAGAAGGAGAAATGGGCTCGGATTGCTGTCAAGATTAGAGAGATGAATGAACCAGATTGGGATCCGAAGTTTGTGAAGAAGACAGCTATGAATCGTCGTAAGGGTGTTCCACAGGGTTTGGCTTGAGCGTCGTTTCTGGGCCATTTTACAGTTCAAGAAGAGCTTTGAACGGTGACGGTTGATAGCCGGTAGTATGTTCGGAGATTGTTGTTGCTTGGGGGATCTGGGTTCTGGCAAATATCTCAGGTTCTGACTTGGATCCAAGGGATACGGGATTCTGACATTAGTGCTTTGTTGTCGGAATACCCGTCAAGGATATTATAGCGTAGCACTAGCTTCTGTCACTGGCTTTTTTATGGAAATGGATCTTTCACATTAAAACAACTGCGTTCCTAATTAAGAATGTTTGTGTTTTGGTATTTCTGCTTACTTGAGCAAAAGGGGACATTAGGAGGAAAACTTACGATCTGTCATATGCGGAACCCTGCACGAACCGTAAGAACCATATGACAATATGAGATCCGATTATTGAAATGACTTTACCTTTCGTTCTTTCCTCCAAACGAACCACTTGACAGCCGAGAGCTTGTGAAAGTGAGGCCCAAAAGTGAAGCTCTGGGTTTTCCTAGATAAACGTTTTCTCGACCCTCTTTCGTTCTTCTCCCAAATATCACAAACATCAGCCTCAAACGATCTACAACACAACCATCATCATGGACTTCACCGACGAAGAGATGTTATACTCAGACGACAACGTCCCAGCAACTCTCACCCCAAAAAAACCCCTCAAAAGCAAACACCGAACAAGGTCACAAAGCGTCCCCAAAAGACCTCCAGCGCAGCCAACACCCCCTCATCAGCAAAATTCGCTACCGCATCCCCAAAACCAAACGTAAGATCTACCACTCCCACCAAGAATTCAAATTAACACAACACCTCAGAGCCTCTCCGAAATCCAACCCTACGACAGACTCCTTCTCGACGGCCGCGCCGCCAACCCGCCCGTCTCCTGGAAAGAGCTCGAAGTCCAATACCGCGCCGCCGGCGGGCTCACCACGGGCGCCAACACGCTTCGAGTCAATCAGTATTCCATGTTACTTGCACTCGGCGAGGAGATGAGTAAAGAAGAGGTATGTCCATCCATGTCAGATAATTGTGAGGACGACGGCTAAGTGGCGTAGATTGCGGATTTGGTCGTTTCCGAGGCGGCTGTGATGGCGGAGTTTGAGAAGGAGAAGTGGGCCAAGGTTGCGGCGCATATGAAGGGGATTCGAGGGGAGAAGAACTGGAATGCGAAGTTTTTGAAGAAGACTTTTGCTTCGCTTCCAAAGGGGGGGATTTGAAAGGCTGGTCTGGTGTAGAACTTTTTGACATGAGTGGGATGGATATGAATCGGGGATGAGCGCCAGACTTTGTGGATATTGGAGCAAACTTATGTGATATGGATATTTGAGCTTTGATGTGGTTCAGGTGAAGGAATAGAACGCACGAGTCAGCAGCCTTGAGTGTGGCACCTGAATATCAAGGGGGATATATAACTTTCAAAACAATAAAAATGAAGAGTATTTACTGTTTCATTTAGTGATTCAAAATCATTATGAGTGAAGTATGACACCCTAACCTGGCTTGAATCATTGCCATGTAGTATGCAATTACCTGTATCAAATTAGAGAGCTCAGTGGACTAATCTCTTCTTTAGGGTACACACAGTAGACAACCTTGATTACTCACTAAGGTGAGCGATTGAATGACTCCACCGTCTATGTTCTGATAAATCCGGCGATTCTACCGAATACTGAAACGTTTCGTATGCTTTCAAATTTTTGGCGTGTAAAGACATGTCCGGCCTGAGATGCAACTGGGAATTAAAAGAGGAATTTCTGTATAATCATTTAAATCGTCTCATTTGGATACTAAAATACATGGGGTAAGAAGAACTGGGACCACAAGAGACCCCAGAAAAGTTGCGAACAATGCCCCAACCCAGATCCTTCACTCTATTATGTGCTAATTGCCTCGTATAAGTGAAAGAAGTTCCGGTTTTTTGTACGCTAGTATACGGTGGAAATAGGCATTTATTTGCCTGGGTTCTCGGCGACGAAAACAACACCCTTCTTGATGTTCTAGCACAAGTTAGTATTTTTTTATCAATTAGGTCGCGGATGACTTACCTTCTTCAAGTCCTCCTTGCATGCATCCAAAAGCTTCTGCTCCTGAGCATCGAGCTTTCCAACATCCATAATCTTCTCCACACCGTTGGGGCCAAGCTCAACCTTGCTGGCAAAGAAATCAATACCCTCATCCTTGTACAATGGGGAGTCAACGAATGTTGGCTCAACAACACCCTTTTGTCCTTGTGCAGCCTTCAACAAACTCTCAGCGAAACGGGCACCAGCCATGGCCATTGATAGGGTGGCAGATCCAGCACCATCCTTTGCCTTGACAACCTCATCACCACCGAATTGTACGCGCTGGAGGAGTTCGGCATTTCCAACCAAGTCTGGGTGGCTGGATTGGGAGAAGAGAGGAACAATGGTGACACCAGAGTGTCCTCCAATAACGGTGATGTTCTCATCTACTGGATCGCTGTTCTTGATTTCGGAAACGAATCTGGATGCGCGGACAACATCGAGAGTGGTGACACCAAACAAACGCTTTGGGTTGTAAACTCCCTTTGCCTTAAAGATTTCGGCAACAATTGGGACAGTGCTGTTGACTGGATTTGAGATGACGAGGATGTTTGCTTCTGGAGCAGATTCGGCAGCTGCCTTTGCGAGGTCGCGAACGATCGAGGCGTTTGTGTTGAAAAGGTCGTCACGGGTCATACCAGGTTTTCGGGGAACGCCGGCTGGGATGAGGACAATCTCTGCACCCTTGAGCGCAGAGGCAAGTCCGGAAGGTGTTGGGTCATAGCCGGTGACCTTGCTCTTTGTGTTGATGTGGGAGATATCTGCCGCGACACCTGGAAGAACTGAAGTTAGTAGGTTGTTCAATGACGAGTGCGCGAGAGCTATTCGAACCTGGGCCTCCGCGGATATCGTATAGAGCGAGTTCGGTAACCCGAGGGTTCAGCTTGAGAAGGAGAGAAAGAGGCTGTCCAATTCCTCCAGCAGCTCCAAGGACGGTAACTTTCGACAACTACAGTAAGTGGGTTAGCAATTGGACTCTGGGGATGGATTGCGGATGCAGCTGTTGGAGAAATGGAATGACTTACGTCTCTTGCCGAGGCGGAGAATGCCCGTGACTGGGCAACGCCGGCGAACGCTCTACGTGCTGCAAACATGATGTGTAGATGTGGGATATCTGGTAACAGGGAATTGAGGGAGAACTGATTGACGAATATCACGGACAGATGGGATGTGCAGAGATGCAATGTTGGAGCTTGAGAGGAGCTGATTTTTTAGCTTCATTAACGCCGGCCGAGCTTCGGGGAAAGCACGCTAGATTCGTTTGGGTAAAGCGCATCAGCTCCCCATCAGGTGACTACGACTAAAGCTAGGTTTCATAGTCACTTCCTGAGGGCTCTTCCACGTCAATCGAGACACCCCTTTATTTCAGACCACAGATTCATAATGCTCAGAATCCACCAAGATACTCCAATGTCGAATTCTTGCTTTTCAAAGCATTGTTACACCCAAGAATCATCATCAAAAAATGGTTTCTCCGGTTGAGCAATTGACGAAACAGCGACTAGCTCACCCGGATGGTTCGATCACGATCATCTATAGGAGAGTTCTCCTTCCACTACCTGTTTGTCTAGGAGGAGTGCCTTATCAATCTGAATATGGAGTTCTTGACAAGTAGAAGAGCTTGATTCTCTCTTTGTTTAGAGTTTTTATGTTATCGTTATTATGGTTCCAATTCATGCTTGCATACTACTAGTTTCATTCATCACCCCAAAGAGTTTTTCATTTTATCCTTCATTCTTTTTTCTACCACTCAGCTGATATGGGAATTCTAGTAATCTTTCCTCCTCCGATCCGAGACATCATTTTCGCCGATTCGTTGCGGATTTCTCAAACCTTTCCGACCCCTCCTCTTGTTCCATCAGTTAATCTCATTTGCAACATCAAATCCTTACATTATTCCCACCTCGTTCCGTCAGAAGCGAGGTATCTTTTCCAGAAGCAAAGCTACGAGGGTTTCTGACTTGGAATGTTGCTGATAAATACTACAAGCACGGCGCAGTACCTTTTTGCAATCAGTATTTGTTCTTTGTTTGGAGTCAAGTAACTTACGCGGCCGCACTTGCGAAGATTTCATGACGCTTAGCCTTTGTGAACATTGAAAGTACCGCTGAGAAAACAAGTGTAAATATCAGCAGTACTCCAATGCTCACAGTATAAGTCACGTCCATGTCTTTTTTCAGAGTCAGTCGATAGAGAATAAATACTGGTAGTATCAACAGGCATAATAACACCAATACCAACATTGCCGTAATGGCGTAGTCCTTCCTGGCCTTGGTGTAATAGTGGAGATTTTTATCGGTTGTTTTACTTCTGTCATCCTGTGGAGACATGTCAGTGCAGCTCATCCAAAAGGCAGGCATCAGGAGTTGCTACCTTTGAGCAAAATATGTTCTATTTGGATTAGCATGGCACTTCCTTTTATTTCTGTTAGACACATACCTGTAGAAGAGAACAGTGAAGTGCTCTCAAAATCTTTTCGAATAGATTGTCCAGCAAAGCCATCTCACGGCCATCTCTCAAAGTTATGAGGTCTTCTTTCTTGTAAATAAAGGCACTCTCTTCGTCGACTAAGGGTTTCTTTGTAAATATATAGCCTTCGACACTTTTATAGTCACTGGCAGACGGTCTGTTGAGGGCAACTAAGCTTTGGGCTTGCAACAAAAATGACCCTATCTCTTATCAGCCCCATATGATAAAACAAGCAATTAGAAAGTGACCATATTCTTTCAAGCCTTCCTCGATGTCATTTAGAATGTCAGTTCGAGTGCGCATGCTTGGCCTTTGCAACTTTTCTTTTCGACTCGCAGACTCGTCTAGGCTACGAGACATAAGCACTTTTCTGCTTGCTAGTTGAGTATTCGTTGTGTCATTTGCATCATCATCATCATAAGAGTCTAGTTCATCCTCGAGCTTCCTCAACTTGTCTTGTTTTCTAAGTAGTACACGAGAGTGCAGATATCCAAAACGTCGGTAAACCATGAAGTTCTCATCACTGTCGAGAAATGTACTTAAAGAGCGGTAGCCTCGATAAACATCCTCTACTAAATTTGCGAAAGATTAGTTTGGCGTGGACGTAGTGACTGACGAAATCAACTCACACTTCCTTATTGCGGGGGATCTTTGACCCGTCGTTGACGATACAGACTCGGACCAAGGTCTCCATTGGAATATAGAGTTGCATGCTGCCAGTTTATTGATAGACGAAGTTGCGATGTTCCTCCAATTCTTGTTGGACTTCGTGATTTCTGTTTGAGGAATGTCACATTTCTCGACTTCGCTTCCAACACACGTTAATGAGTCGCTCTCTGGTGAATTGATGATATTCATTCTCTGCTTGTTTCTATTGATCAGTGCTATTCATAATCTCTGATATTTTTGCCATTATCATAAACAATATAGTGCAAGATATATCCTTCTTCAAGAAGTGAGGCTTACTGACGGAGCCGCAGCCCCACAATCAGCATTTTCTGTCGCGTTACACAACACATGTTTATCTTCCCAAACCCATCATGCCCGCATTACACATAGACAGTCACCGAAGCGCTCAACGTTCATAGGTTGACTGTCGCCTATGGCGTTTCGCTTAACAGTCGTTCAGCTTGTCCTGCGCAACCCATTCCCCGCCGTTGTAGAGGTAACCATCTTGTTCCAACTGATATTCAAATCTTGCTTGTGCTTCGTTCCTTTGCACAGCGATAATAACAACCTCAAAGTATCCTCTCTTTCCCAAGTCGAGCCAGACCCTGTCTTCTTCATTGTATTTCGCAACTGGCTGTATCACGGTCAGCCGATATAAATACAGAAGAGAGTAGAGTAGGCTGCTGACCTTAGCTGCCACGGCGGATCGGCTGTCATAGTGAGCCCGGTCTTCGGGGGTGCTAGACTTCTATGTGAAAGGGTGATTAGTTCTTGATGTTTTCCGAAGGGAAAAAAGTAAACCCATACTCTTTCTTGCTTTGGCGCACTTCCAGGCATTTTCAATATGAATCGTGTGCACTAATAGTATTCTTTTGCGTGTGGTAACTTGAGACCCTGCGGCTGGATTCTGCCTTGAGCGAAGCCGCCTGGGACCGCCCTTCTCTGGTTTTAAGCACCAAATGAGGCTCTTCTGAGCCTTCTCGTTGGTGTCACTGAACTGAGTATATTGAGGGTGACCATCAATTTCATACCATTGGTCAAGATGGCGTACATCGCAGCTGCTGCGTTATCGCAGACCAATGAACTAATGATGATGCATGCAGCGCTTCACTGCGACACACTTTGTCAAGCCACAGGCTTTCAGCGTCAGCAACAGCCGCTCTCCAATGCAGTCTCGTCTTTCTCGGGATATTCCTCGACTTAACCCTTTATCGTCACACTAGTTATATTATGATGTGTGATCGCTCGCCTCATTCTTGGGTAGGAGATCGCCTTTCGCAGGTCATTTCTCATCTCGATTGATCTCTGTTGTCTTGAGGAACTTTTCACTGCAGTAGTATCACCTGCAACCCCACAATGGCGGACGATTTAGAGCGTCCTACCTCGAGCCAGCCGGGTCAAAGGACGGATACTGACTTTCAAGAAACCTTTCATGAAGGCCATCAGAATGAAGCCGCCTCATTGGATTCGAAGTACAAAGCTATTTGGGATGCAGAAATGGGGACGGCAAAACGCAAGCCTTTTTCGTATCGCAAGGTTGCAGTTCTTCTTCTCGCGTGGCACCCCGATGTCGATGATTTGCATACTAAAGAGGAGGTGAGTGGGAAGCTGAATTCACTGGGGATAGTGCCATTCTGACTTACAAGATCGATCGAGTTCAAAATCTATTCAATGATGTATTCCATTTCGATATCGTGAGGGAAACTTTAACGCATGATGACCGGCCAGCACAAGCTCAGGTCAATTTCATCCTTGCTCAATTTGTGTTGCAGCATGGCGACCCACATGCTCTCTTGATTGTCTATTATGCGGGTCATGGCAGGCCCGGAGAGTCGAGCGGGGATCTTCGACTTCCGGGGTAAGTCCATGTCTGCAACCTTTTCGTGAGCAGTCGTGAATTTAAGAGAGCTGACTGGTCAATTCAAAGTCGTCAGGATTTAGTACCCAAAGATAGTGCAGATGTGCACGAGGTCATCTGGAACTCGGCAGAACACAACATCAGAGGGACCCAATGCGACGTACTGGTCATTTTTGATTGTTGCCATGCAGGCGAACTCGAAAAAAGTGTTCGGGGGAAGCTTGTACCACGAGCTTTTGAATATCTTGCTGCTACATCGGCGAACTCGACCACTCGCAAGCCTGGCAAAGCATCATTTACAACAGCGTTGATCTGGGCTTTCAAAGAGCTTGTTAAAAACAACAACAGCTTCACGACACAAGATCTGGTCGCTAAGGTGCTTAAAGCTCCCGACTTTCCTCCAGATCAGTCTCCTCGACTCTCGGAGCGTGGTCCATCATGCACCCGTAAAATCGTACTAGCACCACTGAAGAAGGAGATAGATTTTCAAGAACCAGAATCCGACGAAAACGAAGAAGAAAGCTTTAGTACTACGACCGATCTCAGTCTACGATTCGTCTTTAAAGAGAAGCCGACCGAAGGTGTTGTGAAGGAATTGGCATTTGGGTTACGTCAATTCATAAGCGACCATGAATATTTGCAAGCAAGTACCATACTATGGGAGGGGCTGGACACTATAGTTGGGCATAAACATCGAGAAGCGATGAGTCACTTCTGGGCGCATAAATGGATGAAGATACATCAACGAAAGAAGAGTGAAGGCACATCAATTTTCAGTCCAACAGCTTTGTCTACGCTGCTCGGTCCAGCTGTCGCAGAGAGGACCGCTAAACAGAGAACCTCTCTTTCAGTGATTCCGGTTCCAAGACTGTCTTCTGCGGATTTTGAAAGCGACTATATGCAAGATCAAGGTCCATCTGGCTCGGATACTGGCGTGGACACACCTTTAAGTGCAGTTTCTGGAATCGACAATGCAGGCTTGAGACGCTCTGCTCGAGGTTCTTACAAGAGAAGAAGGGACCACAGTTCCTCTTGAGTGATTCTCCGATGTTTCTTGTGAAAGGAATATTTGTCGTGGTCTGGATTGCTCTATACAAATACAGACATGTATGAGCTCGACCGCTATTACAGAGACAAAAAGCCAACGTACATGATGCCATGACTGAACTCCACCGTCGTTTGCGGTGACTAATACCGCACTTTGAATCAAATGACGTCTGCGGACTCCTTGACTACGTTTTCTTTTACTCTTTTTCTTCGATTACGTCCTTGTATTTTACTCAAGGGAATCTAATTCACGATTTTCATTGGATAGTGGAGGGATCTCTTTTGGATGGTCCTAGGTCGGGTTTTGAAGGAGTTTTGATCGGTGTTTTGTTTTGTATGATTTTGATTAGTGCAGAGAAATATATGCATGTTTCTGTACCGATAGATATAAATATGAATCTAATTGAGATAACGAAATGGGAGTAGCAGGAAAGTGCCGTTCTTCGACTTTGAGAAAAGTCTCGAGACATAGGAAGCCGTCAGATGACCCAACGTCCACCCTCTGAGGAGAAGACAACGAGCTACAAGACAACTGGGCAATCCAATTTTCGCGATATTGTCACCGAGACCAGAGGAAGTTGTACGGACGAGTATTCTAGATTGATCTAAAAATATACCATTCCATCAGTCGACGTCAAGAGTACATATTTACTTTCACTTACGATGTTCTGTTCTGGCTCAACGACCGCTCTTTTGTGTCATGCGTCGCGACAAAGCTGATCTTTGATGTAGAATTTTCAAACTCAGGATCTATCACGGCTTAGTAAATTCTAGCTAGAGCTGACTCAAAAGTTTCTTGTATTTAGGTCTCGTTCGAGGTCAAAGGTGTCTTTAATAGTTTTGAGCCATTTTAGGCTATACAATCTAGATACGATCTAGTTTTAATAGCTGTTAAACCTTCTTCCGAAATGTTGGAAAATAATGCACCCGTCTTAGCTTTATAGCCAACTTAGAGCCAAATATATCGTCTATTTAAGAGGCAAAAACACCTCGATAATTTGAAACACACTAAAGAGTAATTTAAAGAGTAGTATATTTCTCTTAATCTAAAGCTAGCACACCCTTTGATCCGAGTTTTGACTTAAGCAAACCTTGGATACACAAGAGCAGCATTAGTGTAGACGCCTGACTACGCTCTCCTGAGAATTAGGCTCTTTCTATATATACCAATTGACCCAGATTCCTACGCCTAAGGTCGTTGGCTAGTAGATGGAATCTGTTCATCCTTTTTCAGGATACGAACGACTATTCTCCAAATCATGATATTGTTATTTTCATGATACCCGGTAAATTTCTAAGTCAAATTATGACACATGGCCACGTTAAACATTGCTTTTGCTGTGAAAAGGTTATATTTGTCTAACAATGAGATACGATATCTCTTCTGCAGAAAGTATGCTGTCAAGCTCTACGCTAGACTCTTCGGCATTTGATGACATTTCGGTAGATACATTGTAACTACTCAAAAAGAAATCGACAGCGAGTCAGAAAAATGCACAATTTTCGCGCCCATAACAAATATTGAATAACAATCTGGGTCTGAAGTAATGCGACACAGAAAGAAATCATCAGGTCCAGAGATTATGTTTCAAGAATTTGCCTTTCCTAGGCTGAGATTCTCGGGGTTTGGGCACTCGAAGTTAATGAATTCTCCATCTTTTAGCTTAATAGCCTCGCACTGTGCGAGTTGAAGTACACCCGAAGTTTTTTCGAGCAAGTCCTAAGTGTAACTATCCTGTACAGCTTTTAGCAACGACGAAATGAAATGCTCAGGACCGTAATTGAGTCAATGTCGACGAAGGAAACGAGCCAAAGCTCATTTCTACTTTTCTTTGCTTTATAGAGATTTAATAAACGTTGCTTTAGTTTCATTTGAAAAACAACAGGCTTGTAGTAAGCGGCCGTTTTCATCTAACATCCATTGCATCTCCGCGAATACTTTCCGTGATAATTTACCTGCAATATTTGCTAATATCAAGATTACAGCTCCAGGTCATTTCAATGTCTGTAGTAGTATAACCTGCTTTATTTCGATGCTGACATTTCCAGATAACTCCTCCGATAGAAACTTCTATCAACTACGAGAAAATTTTCCACAAAGCCTTGCTGTGATCCACGCAAATACTTATATCAGGCTTTACTTAACCTCTTAAATACTAACGTATTCAGTATACACAAATCTAGAGCGTTCTATTAGTATATGACGTAATGTGTTATGCAATAGCTGAAGCATTGTGAAATATTCTCAACGAGGTTCAATGCAATATTGACAGTTTATCTAATCGCTTTTTGACAATCATCAGCGTTCTATGTCTATCCGTGCAGCGACAATTCTATCTGAAGGACACGATATATATGCCGTCATCATTAAAGGTTTTCCTTAGTCTCGTCGCCATCTTATAGTCAAGCTAATCGAATTCATACTAACATAAAACTATCTTAGCGGCAAGCGCTTAAATGCTGGCTGGTTATAGAACTATTCTATGGCAAAATTACTTATAGTTGAGAATTCTACATGTAGCGAGAACATGAAAGTAAGCTTTTAGTCGTTTGGAGCCGTTCCGAGTAACCTTCTTGTAGTAGACCAATTCATATGTTTTTTGAGTTAGGGCTCAACATGTCGCTCATCAAGGACAATAGACAAAATAACAGATTCTGTGTCAAATTAGTTACACAATGATGTTTGCTATGCCACCAATTATTTTCGTCGCGAGGTATATTAGTAAAATAAAAGGATATTAGCGTTTCGCCGTTTCGACAAACCACCAATTATAGTCCTAACGACAACAGTAAAGAAATAAGGATATGTCATCTTCTTGACATCCCAGAATCGAATAATATCAGAATCACAGCTGTATTTTATCATTCTAACCAAACTGTATATGTTTCTGAAATATTCAACAAAACCAAGGACAAACCACTCAACTAACGAGGAGATTTGATTGCAGTAAAAATCATTTCAAAACATGATGACCACGTAGGTTGTAGAATAATTCGAGGGTCTTATAATTGATATCTGTAGCAGATAACAACGCTAAGAGAATATTGGGTAGTATTGAGATATCATTAGGATTAAAAAAATACAAAATCAAAAGAAACAACCCCACTATGCACGGGAATGTGCGTACGACAATATCTATCCTAAGCAACAACTCAGCGAAGTGAAACAGAAGATTGAAACACTGCGTAAATGTACATCAAGAAAATAGCCATGTTTGAGTTTTCTCCTAGGAGGACAGTCTAAGAAAAGCAGATACAACTTACATAAAATCCCTAACCTGCTCAATTAGAGTCATCTGACTTTAAGTACGAGATATAGCGGTGAGTGCAGGTACCAAACTTAAAGTTAACGAGATTAAAAGTTTTCTCACAACACACAGCCAGCACCGCAAAAAACAGCACTCGAGCAAGAGGAGAAATATGTCAGTATAATGCCCTAACTACCTACACCCACCCCCCAAAGAATGAGAAGTGCCTTTCCGAATATCCGCAAAGAAACTAGTAGTAGCACCAAAAGACGAAAAATATCCTATCAGACAAATCCCCCGCACTCCCGCTTTCCATATTTCCACGTATCGCCATGAACCAGTGCATCAAAGGTAGTTACACTCCAAGGGAAGAAATTTTTATCAAACGCTTGAAAACTGGGGGACGCTTAAATCAGATTGTGTTTCGGATGAAATATGCAAATGCTAGGCCGTTGGAAATCATGCATGTATCGAATGAAATTAACATGAACAGCGAATGAAATTAGAAGTAGCCGCGCATGGCATCTTCGTACCCGGTGCCGCCCTTGAGGTCGCGGTCAAATGCGTTCGAGACATCGAGGACGCGCTTGATGTGGGTCATGCTTAGTGGTTCGCCCTTGTTGACTGCGAGAGCTTGAGCGGTGCGGATTGTGTTTTTGATCTATCGTTTGTTAGTAAAGAATGACGGAAATAGGAGAAGTGGATTGTGACATACCTGTCGACCGTTCAAATTATGCTTGCTGAGATTGGTGTAATCTTCCTCAGTGAAAGGCATGGTCTCAACACCCTCCAACACTCGGACACGCTCAATGAACATCTTGAAGACGCTCTTCTTGGCCTTCGAACTCAACTCGCCATATCTCAGTGCAATGTGGATACGGGATTGGAAGGCGTCATCGAATGTCTCAACACGGTTGGTTGTCAGGAACAAGATACCTTGGAAGTACTCCAGAAGACGAAGGAAGATCGATACCAGGGCGTTTCGATGAATGTCTTGGATGGTTCGCTTCTCAAGGAAGACATCAGCTTCATCAAGAAGAAGAACTGCTCCCCAGGCATGTGCAATGTCGAGGATCTTCTGCAGTTCTCCCTCAAGTGTTCTAGGATCAGTACCAAGTTCACCTGCTGAGACCATATACAGCGGACATTTGAGAAGCTCAGAAATGCCCTCAGCAGTAAGCGTCTTCCCAGTTCCAGGAGGACCATGGAGAACCGCCACTAAGCCCTTACCCTTTCCTTGAATGACGTCGTCGATGCTTTCGGCTGGGTGATACTTGTGTGACTCAACTAGAGCCTTAACGATATCTTTAGTGTTGTCCTCCAATACCAAAGACTCGTAGGCACCCTCGTTCCAAACAATATCCTTGACACCAGACACAGTAAACTCAAGCCAAAGCTTTTCTGCGAAGGCGAAACCAAGAACGACTGGAGAGGCTATCAGATACTCTTCGTCTTTAAAGACTGGAAGTGTCTTCTTGTCCTCTTCAACTGCGGTGGTTTCTCCCTCTTTGTCCTTGGCAGCTTTGCTTGGAACTTCCTCTAGCTTCTCAACCACAATCTCTTGACCATCTGCATCCACTGGAACTTCGATAATTCGTGGCTTGTCCTTTTCATCGAGAACCACCTTCATCTTCGTTCTGGGTTCATCATCGCCACCATCTTCGCGCTGCTCAAAGTGGCCTGCGTGGCCGTCGGAGTCAGAGTCATCTCCACATCCGCAACCATCCGAATCGTACTCCGAATCCGACTCCAATAGATCAGGATCCTTTGGTTTGACAGTGCTGACGTTATAATTTGGTAAGATGCGACGGTGGATTGCTGGGTCGACCATAATTCTACCATTGATGTTCACCTTGACGACCTGCTTCTTCTTCTTGTAGAATGCAAGACCTTCGTGGCTTCTATAGTTGACACCTTGTAATGCGACGAATTTCTTACCACGTTCGATCAATTCGGCTCGAACCTTTGCCTCATTCTTGTGGTACTTTAATGGATAACAGCTCAAACTCGTAATCTTTCGGGCGCCTTTGAATGATCCGACATCAACGTCCATGGTTCCTAAAAGTTGTTAGCGGATTCAAAACAAAACGTGGAAATAAGCATACCCATGCCCCATGTTTTGCCATCATACTCAAGATAACGTCCCTCGATACTGTACCACTCGCCCTTCATGAAACTACACTCTTTCTCGGCGAGCTCAATCTTGAATGCACGAGGTTCGTCAACCGCTCCATATGTCGTGGTGAAAGCTAGAGTGTTGGGTTTGTATAGTGCCCAGAGTAAGTCAAATGTGATCAGACCAGACTCGAGCATAGGATACAAAGTCTTTTTGGTGGAGGCGTAGTCTTTATCCAAATACTTTAAGAGAACCTTGAGATGTGCACGCTTCGTCTCGTTACGCTTCTTCTGCTTCTTCTTTCCCTTCTTGACTGTGACCTTGGCATTCTTGAGCTCTTTATAAGATTGCCGCAGATCTTCAAGGTAGAGGAACAAGAGGTTTGGGTCAACTTTGGGGGTTTCTTCAACTAGACTGACGCCCTTGACACCATCCATGACCTCGTTCAGGGCTTCCTTGAGAAGTTTGCTCTTGATGTCAACCACGGTAGCCTAAATAAAAATCAGCACGCGAGCCGAAAATTTACGACGAATACTGACCTTGTATTTTCCTTCCCAGTCAAATGTTCTACGGACGTTGAACAGGTACTGGTCATACTCGGAGCTCTCCTCATCTTCTGCCGTATCGGTGAGCTTGTAATTGTGGATGGTGCTATCCCACAACTGATCGACTCTCTTGAACTCTAGCTTGCTTGCCCGCTTCTTCTTGACCTTCTTCTCCTTCTTCGCTTTCTTTAGAGCTTTAGAATCGAGACCGAGTAGTGCGTTTGTCGCTCTCGCTCTCTGAAGCTGGGCCGCTCTCCCGGCAGCGCCACTACCAAGTTGATGGGTTGGAGGAGGAAGATATGTTGGGAGACGAGCCTGTTGTAGCTGCTGAAGCTGCTGTTGCTGAAGCATCTGTTGCAGTAACAGCTGCTGATCCTGGGTGGTCTCTGCTGGAACCTCATCATCGTCCTCCGTCGTAGTCTCAGTATCCGAGTCGGAATCCGAGGATGAATCCGAATCGGAGTCGGACGAGTCCTTGATATTAAGTCAGTAACCAGATTACGAGAATGTCTTATATCGCGAGTAAACACTCCAGCACATGCTTACCTCTTTCTTTGCCTTCTTCTTCGATTTTGCCTTCCGCTTGTCCTTTGCCTTTTCTTTCTTTTGCTTAGCTTTCTTCTTAGCCTTCCGCTTCTTCTTCTTCGCCTTTTCTGTCTCTGTTTCTGAGTCTTCTTCTGTATCGCTGGCCGATGATTCACTTTCGCTTTCTGAATCGCTCGATGAGTCCGAATCGTCGCTGTCACTCTCCACAACCTCTTTGGCCTTCTTTGATTTCGACTTGCCGCACTTCTTCGTGGCGTCCTTCATCTTTTTCGACTTTGTCTTTTTGACCTTTTCGGGTGATTGTCTCGCCTTCTCGACCTGTGTGCCTGAGCTGCTTTCACCTACCACGGCTACTCCCTCGCCCTCTCTCTCCGTCACTGGCTCGCTCTGGTTTGTGCTTGGTGTATCCATGGTACCGTTCGGGCCTTGCCTCGGTATTACAGAGAAGAACCCGATACAACGGGAGTGGTAAAGGCGCTGTAAGCTCGATCAGACGCTGTATTGCACGGCGCAAGCAAGGTAGGGTCGCAGATCTCGGGGCAGCTTCGATCAAAAGCGCGGACAGACTGGGATTTTCCTATCACTTGAGCTTTGGGTCAGCACAAGATGCACGATTATGCGTAGGGACCCCGACAGCGGAGCAGATGCCAGCTGTCACCAAAAGGTACGGGAGGGTGTAACCGTCTCTCGGGCGGCCACGGCAGCGGAAGTTCCCAATCACCACGCAGAATAGGTGACGGAAGAGGGGGATATGGGGTCAGCAGGCATTCACTCACCTTGTTCTGGTACACCGCAGTTGGGTCGGCGATACTGATCGATGAAGCTGGCGAGGTTACCAAGGTTCGTCGAGGAGATAGAAAGATGAAAAGAGAAGATGGGGCAGGTGACAAGACGAGGACTTTTAAACAGCAAACAGAAGGAGAATCTCGGTGTGACAATCGTCGTAAGATTCTTGGTCAGATCCAGCACGAAACACGACGACGGTTCCTTACGAGGCCAGGTCGAGCTACTGCGATGCGAGTTGTGCTGTTCAGTCGCGCTGCTATTCTGGATTGGTTCAAGTGCTGGACGCCCCTGCAGATGCCAGCGACGAGGCTGAGGATTTGTGAAGAGGTGGAGGTGGATGGGGATGGGGATGTCGGTCAGATTGATTGAGAAGTGGCAAAGGAAGAAGAGGCGGCGTCGGTAGAGATTGGGTTTACCTGATAGCTTCGAACAGTGCGTAAACTCATTCACTCACTTTCATTTGTTGATGTATGTTTAGTCGTAATCCTCATGGATATATTTCCAACGATTTCGTTGTTGACTTTGACTCATGGCCGGTTGCAACCTGCAAGTGGACAGCTCCAAGGCAGAATTTCCCCAGACAGTCACTTACAGGGTCCTTATGGTCCTTATCCGGGCGATAAGGCTGGATGTGGAGCGGCTTTAGGCACCACGGACCCTCCAACGGCCCCAGCTCTAGGCTGGCAGAACACTAAGCGGCGACATGTTGACCGCCCTCGACCGCTGTGCAGCCGCTCTCTCCCTTTTCGTGTTCCAATTCCCCCTTCTATTCCCCTTTGCCATCAACATCTGTGTTTGCTTCCGGTACCACAACCTGCACATCATCTCTGTACCTCGATCACGAACATTGCATTTCGTCGCCACTCAAGCATCTACGATCAAGCACATATTTACCGAACAATGCTGCGTTGGTTAACCCTATGCTGTGCCCATCGGGGACCGCGATCGCTAGGCTACACCTGGACGTTGCCTAGTCGGACGGGCCTGCTACCTATCTTACCAACCTTTATGAATGATTAGGCGACAAGGTCTTGAAAGCTTTTTTCATAGCCTTTGCGACCTGTTTGCGAACCATTTATTCATGAGAAGGTTCTCCTGTTTGCTTGCTCCCGAGGTCGTCTCTAAGAGATTTTATTAAGCGAGCTGTCACAGAGGAAAGACGCTCCTGTTTGTACAAAGGTAATAGCCGGTTGCATTGTTTCTTGTTTAGAAAAAGGACCTCGCCGTTCTGAGCTTGTCTCTCCTTTTCGAATGTTGTATCCTGACCAAAAGCAACGTCATGTTGACTTAATTGTTATCTCATTTGTCGTAGACCCAACGTAATTCATCGAAGGTTCAAGGTTGCTTCTACACAGCGACCTGCATTATCTGTAACACCGCGTCTCAAGTTTAGGCATTTCCATCCAAGCCAACCACAGTCGTCTCCGCGTGGCTGAAAGTCCTCAATCCAGTCCTGGTAATCTTGAGTGCCGATGAGCAATTAGGATCTGGACATGCTATCAAAGCATCCGTCGTCATCCAGTCATTCTTATGGGTGACTCGTTGCTTTGCCGCAAGCAATGGAAGGACTGATGCTGTCAAACATGAGCAGTTGTGGCTATCAAGTGTTGTCTTTCATACACAAACTGTAAATGCTTATTCCTTGCCCCTCGGGCAGACGCAGCATTTCTCCTTCGAGAACAAAATAATCACCCGATTTTGCACCGCACAAGATTTTGCCATCCGAGGGACAAATAACTTCCACGCGCAGGTCATAAAGCTGGAAGGAGTCGTCTGAAGTCATCCTCGGTGATTCGATTCGTCTTTAAGGTGCATATGATGGAAAAATATGGGTCAAGTGAACACTGTTGAAATGTGCACTTGTGGGGATGTTGAAGTGGTTCAGCAACAATTCATCCCTCACATTTGAATTGCTGGCTGTTGCGCATAAGTTACTCGACATTCTGAGTCGAGAACAGTCATTTAATCCCACCTTTGAAGCAATTGCCAAGTGGCGACCCTTGTCAGAATTTTTCTACTTGAGTGCAAGCCTACATACCTAGGTACTCAATTTGCTGGTTCTTATGATGGCTGCGTTGGCGCTCGGTGGGATAGAAAGTTGAAGCTCAAACGCAATGTTGTGTCGACTGCTTTCAGTAAATTGACCATGCTGAATTCTATCGGAATTGAAAGACCAAATGCAAATGTCAACTACAACAGTGCACACGCCTATTGGCACATATCTGTTGTACTTCGGGGTAGCTCAATCAGTCCATATTACAGCACGTGTTGCGTGGAATTGCCACACTCCTCCTTGTACCTAGGTATGTTCCAGATTGCCTATCTAGCATTTTCGAATTGATTGCATATTTGTTACCTATACTCTGCACCACAATCGCCCATCGCTTCAAACACTTCTTTCGCATTGGAGCGTTCCAGCACTTGTCCGATGAGCTCTTGATCATCTTTTTCCAAGCCGAAAGAGAACACTTTCAGATTCTCTTCAATGTGCTCACTTATTCCCATCCGCGAACCAACAATCACAGCACCGACGAAATCGTGATCCAAAATCCATCTCACAGCGACGTTGGAAACAGTCACTTTGTATTTCTGGCCTAAAGCACGGAGTACGGCAAGTAGTTCTTGGAAAAGTGGCCAGCCTCCCCAAATGGTTATCATCTCCAGATACTATATTACCAGTCAAAACGGCTTTTTGAGAACTATTGGAAATTGATGTACCTTTCGATGACTCGGTGTCATGTCTTTGTCAAAGAGCCCAGGCATTGATTTCCCAAACCATTTTTCTGCAAGGAAGCCTCCACACTATTCAGGTTTTAGCGGCAAACTCACATCAAGAGAAAGTGTTGTCAATTACCAAAGATCCATAAGTCAACAGTTTGACACCATGTTTGCGACAACTTTCTGCCATCAAGAACGTTGGCCGCAAATCAATAAGAGAAAACTGTCGCTGATTAGTGTCTGCAGTTTGTTTGAACGTCGAAAACTTACCTGGACTTGATTCGAAACAACCTTCATACCACTATCAAGCATCTCATTCATGTGCACGGTATCAAAATTACACAGGCCGAGGTTCCTGACATGTGGGTTTGCCTCGATCAACTTTGCTGCCTCAACATACTGATGGTCATCGTAGTCCTGCCAGTGGAATTGAAGTAACTCCACCTCGGTCGCATTAATTGCGGATAGTCGTTCATTGATACTTGAGTCCACCAAGTCCTTAGAAACTTGGATGTGGTTGAAGACACACCATTTGGTCGCACAAAAGATGGACGCAGAATCAGCTTGACTGGAGCGAAACCCGCCGAACGTAGCTTCTGCATCTCCCTGGGTTCATGAGACACCATAAGCTTGAGCAAGCGTTGTGGAATTTGGTATCAACTCACATAATGATCTGCCATATCTTGGACAGTGTTAGCCGCGGACAACAAAAGTCGATAATTAATTTCGGATTCTTACCATAAGCAATAAGTCCCGCATCGACATGCTTTCTAAAATCCGCATGAATCTTCTCCTTAGTTGCGGTACCCCAAGCAGGACTCGAGAACTGCCATAGCCCACAGAATATCCTTGGAACTTGCGCGTCTCCGAGCTTGAAAGCTTCAAGCTTGGAAACTGTTGATTTGAAGCCCGTCGAGCGCGGGTTAGAAGATCGATCAATATTCTGCTCGTTCCTTTGCGATTTTAACAACGTCTCAACACTCTGAACCGCACGTTCAAACGACACGCCTCCACCTTCCAGTTTATCCTGGCACGACCGTAGCGCTTTTACAAGATTTACCGCAATATCAATTTCAACATCCTCCATCGCCCGCGTCTCACCGTCAACAATCAACTCCTTGTGCACAGCAGTAACAGCTTGTACAACATCACCGTCAATCCCGGCAATTTCTCCTCCTATATCAGCAAGCTTTTCCATAATCCCGGCGTCCTCCCAACCCAAATTCTCTCCAAATTCCTTCAATTGCGCAACCACATTCAAAACTTCACACAAGCTCTCAACCCCTTTTCCACACCCCATCAGACATCTGTACCGAATCATTTGCTCTTGCAACGCCGGCAGCGTCCTGAATCCTGCATCGGTGACGACGAATAATTCTGGAAACGGGGTTGGTTTGGTACTGATTAGGTAGTCTGACACTATTGAGTTGAACTTCGCTGTCAATGGTGCATTTCCGCCGAGAAGACCTCGCAGGGTGGATCGAAGGGCTTCTGGTGGGAGATTGGCGATGATGGTATCGGTCATCATGTTTGTGTGGCCTGCTTTGGCGGCCATGGCGAATATTGGCTTTTCTTAACGCTGCTGAATGTAGGAGAAGATACCATGAGTATGTCAAGATGCTTTCTAGTATACTAGACCAATTCAAAGAATGGGCTTCCAGCAAGATCAATTTTGAGGGTGGGCAGAAGCTGAGTCCAGAACCCGTGGAATGGGTGTAGGTCACGAAATGGCAACATAAACAAAACATGGGGAGAGAAATAATTTTTCGTCGTGTGGCATACCTAGCAGACGTCGCAAAATGAACATAACATCAAGCTTAAAAGAATTTGAAGGCGGTATGAGCTAGATACCCCACGTTTCATTCTTCCCCGCATCATGTCGATGCAATTCTCTGTGAGAGGAAGGAGCTCCCACTCTTGGAAATATCTCGACAATCCCGAAGACAGCACGACCGACAAATTTCACTTATCAGCCAAGCTGCGATATGAAATCCTTTTGAGAGTCATTTCGTCTAAGTGGTGTTAAGAAAGGGTGTTTATTCTAAGTGCTGTACCCGGATTATGATGACTTTTTCTAGGAAATGTCTCACATGAGGAATGCCGAGATCATCCGATCAAAATCAACGCTATCAGTAACCGCAACGGAACCTTTGAACTTCTTACTTACAGTGACTAAAGGTTCGTTGAATTTACTGTCGGATAGCGCTGTGCAAATAACAAAGAAACCGCTTTGAGGATGTGGTCTTTCTGAGATTCCACCGGATGCATCGAGGATGAATGCACACGGTTCGAACAAAGCAGCTCTTTATCACCTCCAAATTGACCTCGATCTAAAACTCTTGGAGTTTTGTGACTCTTTCCACTCAACCAGAAACTGATCAACTTGCAAAAATCTGTCAATCAAAATGTCCAAAAGTATCAAAGAGACGAGCGTTAGAAGTCCTTTCTTGGGGAAGGAACTTACGGATGAAGACTTGCAAACTCGATATGCGGAATATCTGCTCACAGACCCAAAACTTCCAACCATTACCACTAGCGCAGATGGGGCGACTATTACAGTCACCAGTTATTTCGAGGATGCCGAGCCCAAGGTAAGTTTACCTACTGGACGATTCTGAATTCGCCGACTAACAACTATAACAACAGGAACTTTCTGTAGTTTTGGAAGAAGAAAGAGCACCAGAAATTGAGGTCCAACCTGAAGATATCGATGCGTTCAATCTTTACACTCCGGATGAAGAGCAAAGCGAGATCGACTGGGATGAGCAAGTTAAAGAAGCCCCAAAGCCAGCTCCTGTCGTCGTTAGAGAGAAGCTGTCCGTAAGTTATTGATTCATCCCGAAATTAATTAGGATTCAGAAGCTGACATCGAAGAAGGGTCCGGCAGCTCTCCGTGCAAAACACTTGAAAGCATTACTTTCAACCAAAGAATATCTGCTCAGAACCGCCAAGCGCGTCTTGGAGGAACAAGCCAGTCTTCCGCAAGCACTCGATGGAGATGACGCTCAACCAACACGAGATGCCATCCTAGCAGAGCTGCACCTCTACAGCATCGGCATCAACACCCGCAAATGGGCTCACAAGAAACAACTCCTCGACGACCAAATCGCTTTCGCAGCCACCGACGCCGGCAAAGCAGCTGATATGGTCTTGGACGCAGAAATGAAAGCACAAAGAAAACTCAAGGACAAAGAGAAGAAGCAGCGACAGAGGGAGAAGAAGGCTGCGGAGATGGCAAAGAAGAATGAGGTCGTGAAGGGGAAAGGTGGGAAGAAGGGGAAGGGTGCTGATGCTGGGAAGGGGGGGATTAAGATGGGGAGGCATGAGGTGAGAGATAAGGTGAAGGGGAAGTCGGATGGGAAAGGGAAGGGGAGGGTTGAGAAGAATGAGAAAGCGGGGAGGAGACGGGGGAAGAAGGGTGGGAATAAGGGCCGGGATTGATTTGAAATGCGGAGTTGTTATACAGTAAGGGAAGGAAGGATGCGCGGAGTAGTTTTATAGCCACCAGTTTGATTTCGTGCGTTTTGAGACAGAGTCAAAATTACTTAGATATTATTGGATTAGGTATCATTTTTTTTTAGGCCCCTAGCTTAACGTCTCGTCGTCTGGTTAGTTCCTACTAAATCAGGTCGGGACTAGCAATTCTCCTTGGGTCAACTCGTCTTAATCACAACTTTTTGCATGTTTTTGAAATGAAGAGCACGGGTGTGGCGCGGTAGTCAGTGATGTTTTTTAGTCGATCTCGCAACAAATTGACTTGCAGACAGCCACCAACAGTGTTGGATTCAAGACGCTCCTACTGGGTACTTCTTTTCAAACCAACCTGTCACCAACAACATTTATTCCGTCCTACCTCGCCCAATCTATTGTGTTAGCGCTTAACGACAGTAGGTAAATCTTCGAACCTGTTTTCATTCTCGTTTGCACTGCAAAATATATCTGAGAAGATTCAAAGATGGCTTTATTAACTGTCATTATTACTATTATATCTTTACCTGCGGCGCTATTTCTGTGGACTGCGCATGCATTAGCACTCAATCGGGAAAAAGTAAAAGCGATAGGTTTACCTTATGTGGTTCGATGGATATCTCCCATAAACCCTTTTTGGCTGCTTTATGGGAGCTCGTTCGTACGACTTTGCACAAGGCTCGGAATAGCAACAGAGAACATGCAACACATATACTCCTACGGCTGGGAAGCAAATGAACGGGCACGCATTCACTTGAAACACGGCGATGTATTTGTGCTTGTCCATCCTGGGGGTATCTCGCTCAGTGTAGCAAACGCGGAAACCATCTACGATATTTTACGACGAAGGACTGATTTTCGGCGCAATATGGAAGAAATGGCTGTGTTGAATGTCTACGGCAAGAACCTATCCACAACAGATGATCAAGAGTGGCAGCAACATCGAAAAATGACAGGTGTTACATTTACGGAAAAGAATAATGAAGTTGTTTGGATACAGTCTGTCAAACAGGCGACTGGTATGTTGGAATACTGGAGTCAAAAAGAGGAGCAACCTATACGGTCTACACACGACGATACCAAGGTCTTTACTCTGAATGTTCTTGCTGCAGCTCTTTTCAACAATGTGTACCATTTTGAGGGGTTTGCCGAAGCCAAAAAGGAGAATCACAAGGACGATCCGTCTTATCAGTACAGGGAGTCTTTGTCCACAATACTCTCATCCATCATCCAGATATTCATTTTCGGCGAGGATGGCTTGAAAGCATGGTGGACCCCAGTGTCGTGGAAAGATGCTGCCAATGCCATGTCAACTTTTCGATTATACATTCATGGTTTAATGGACGAAGAACGAACTCTTTTACGACAGGGGGCAAATGTCAATCAACATCTGGTCGCGCGTTTGGTCCGAGCATGCGAGGACGGTCGAATTGCCGACGACGGCGCACCTGATGAGCTCCCTGAAGATGCCGAGAAGCCAGGTCGAAATATTAATCTAACGGAAGAAGAGATTCTGAGTAATCTCTTTGTATACGCATTCGCGGGGAATGACACCACTTCCATAGCGCTGACGAACTTGCTGGTCCACCTTGCTGCAAACCCAGAGACACAAGACTGGATTGCTGAAGAGATCAATCATTACCTACCTCATGAAGTTACGGAAAGATGGAGCTATAATAACTTTCAAAAGATGAAGAGATGTGGTGCAGTCATTGTAAGTCGAAGGCCCTCCCTTTAACAATACATGTCTGATGTGCGCAGATGGAGTCTCTTCGAATGTGTCATCCACTGTCGCAATTGGTGAAAACCACGGGTTCATCATCCCAAATTCTTAACGTGGATGGTACTCAATACAAAATCCCGGCAAGCACAGCTGTACATTGCTCTCTTCCAGCACTTCACTCCCACCCTAAATACTGGGGGTCAACTGCCATGGAATGGAATCCTAGTCGTTTTATATCTATCGATGGAACGGAAAACGTAAGCTCCGTGAATACTTTCGAAGAAGAGCGTCTTGCCGCAGATACTTCACAGCATTTCATGCCTTTTGCATGGGGTCAACGTGTTTGCCCAGGGAAAAGGTTTGCTCAGGTCGAATTAGTCGCTGCATTAGTGGTGTTTTTCAAGAACTATCGGGTAATACTTGAGGTGAATGATGGCGAGACAGAACATCAGGCAAGAAAGAGGGCTTGGAACACGAGTCTCAAGGTTGATCATGAAGGTCATATGTTACACGAAATGGTCAAGCCGGAGAGTATCGGGCTGAAGTGGGTCAAGAAAGTGTGAAGATGGATGTAACAAAATTCCATCTCATTGGTATGAGACAAGGGGAATGATAACTATTTTACATGAGATGATCCGCCATTTATTCATCAAGATATGCTTACTAAGTTTGAATGTTAACGACATGGATCGTCTTCTTCAATATATAGGCATTGATAAACCCAGCTATGACATGGCACGCATTAAGGTCAGAACGGACTACAGCTTGACAGCGTTCTCTTTTCCCGTGGTGCACTCTGGTTGCCAAGGTTTAAGGTATCTCGAAAAGCTTCGAACTCTGTAACCTTCACTACGTCGGGTGTGTCAAATACAACTTAGCTCGTGCTTACGAAAAGAAAAAGAATTTTGAAAAAAGAAACAGCGTTCTAAGTTCTCTGAAATCGGTCGTTAGCTACGTTAGCCTTCGAGGCAGTAGTTAAATGACTATTAGATATGCAGACTTCGAAAAATGGCATCGCATTTAATCGAGACATGATAATGCTAACTCCGGCCAATATCCCGACAAGTTAAATGTTTTCTTCGTGCGAGACAAATCTCCAGCCATAGCCCCCAAAGCTTCCGCAGGAAATAACCAAAACCCAACCACTGACCTGACAGCTGTAGGATTTTCATCTGGTTCAACAAATCTTCGTCCGCCTCGCTTGATAGCCCATGCAAACTTTTCTTTGTTGAATAGCCATCTTTCTTCCTCCTCTTTTACATATTCATTAACTGTACTGATATCATGGATTTTCTGAAATTGGGCTCTAGAGGAGAAAAGCACACGGTCGGTGGCTGTTATTGTGCGCTGGATTTCCCATGCAGCAGGCAGCTCGCGCCATAGTACGCGCATTGCACGTGGATCCATATCTGCTGTTAGGAAATATTTCAAGTCCGGACCAATAGATCGCTTGCTCGTTCCAACAAGTTGAAGGCCGATGATGATGATTTGATCGGCATCGAATGATTAAAGCGAAGACCAACTTCGGGGAAACTATCCATCCACCCGAGGCTTGTACGTCCAGCAGTCGACTCAGCAATCCAAATTATATCCTCTAAATTGTTTAAAATAGAAAAGAATGAAGTTTTGGCAGAGGGGTCGAAGATGCTGTTTATCGAATGTAATTTCTCCATCCCTTCGAAATCGAGAGCTAATCTGAGAAGCCCTACATGTTTTGGATCATTGGCCTTCAAGTCCTGAAGAAAGTCAACCAATATATCCTCTGAATGGCCTGATGCCTTCAAAAATATAATTCGAGTTCAGGATTGATGTAGAGAGCCTCTTCTGCACCGCTGTCTATATTGCATGAGACTGAAAAGGAATGTGAATGCGGTAGAATCCGGAAGCAACCCGTCGTGACTCGTTATTTACATGCAGTGTTTTACTATAGGAAAGATCTCCATGTGACTTCACAGTGTAATCCCGACTACTGATCAGCTTGCCGAGCTTGTTCTTGGTCGAATACCAAGGGATGCCGCGGGCTTGGGGCGAGGCATAACCTTCGACCTCAATCTTGAGGAGACGGTGTCGCTCTATCGAAAATTCCCAAATGCGTAAACGAATTTCAGTCGGCAGGGCTAGGAAATGATGGAACAAGATACCCCGGTTGCTAGCACAACTTGGGTTGATCACTTCAAGGTGCTCTGGAGAAGACATTTTGTTCGATAATGTGGGCGAGAGACAGTAGTTAAGCTCGTAAACTACGTGGATGATTTGCTGGAGACTTGTAGCTAGTAGCGATGTCGTCGTACCTCTTCATATACCATGGACTCTTCGATCCTGCAGTGGCGGACTGTAAGGATAATCTGCCAGCAAGAGCAAGAAACATCAAGAAGGATTGCAAGAAGGCGTTTCTGTAATCCCATGCGGCACGACCATATGTGGGGAGTTGCGGAGATCTGAAACAAATTGTTTTCCGGGGTTTTAGGTCTCAGGGGGAGATAACGAATTATTGAGCCACCCCTGGGCCACGTGTACGCGATTGGCTCGAGCTTTTCTCGTAAACGATCGCATGGAAGCATAATAACACATGAACATTAGATATTTGATTTAGATTGTGCTTCTTCCAGCGGGCTTGGATTATACCTCATCTGTTAGAAAGATAAAAATATTCCTGCTTTGAAAGCTGCACCAATTACATCAAAGGGCCTTCTGGGACAACAGACGCTGTTGATATTTCAATTCCTTGATTTAAGATGGGATTTACTGCCCTGTCCTGGTCGGGAACTTTGTTGTGGGGTTGGCAACAAGAGCGTTGACCGGAGACAGCTTAATTGGGAATAGAGGCACCAAGTGCCCCGTGAGAGCACAGCTTCTAGTCCTTCAAGGAACATAGCCTGAATCAGAATACATGTTTCGAAAGCGATTTCCTGACTCGATGAACGATAGTAACTTAGGCCTTAGTTCTTGAAGGAACGAACACTGCCTAATCAGGACATATGTTGCGATGGTGGCATTCCGACTTGGTAAATGATAGTAAATTAAGCGTTGAGTTCTGGAAGGAACATAGTCTAAAACAGAATACATGTTGCGACAATGGATTACTGATTTGAAAAGCGATGGTATCTATTCTAAAGTTAGATCTGCAGAGTATCTGTCGTGCATCTCCGTGTGAGTAATCCTCTATCGAGACACTCGATGATCAGAATGATATCAGTGATCTGTGTAGACTGTATGGCAGTGTGTGCGCCATCAGTGAGCCATCGATGTCAACAGGATGAGAACAAGAATGGCACTTCGCCACAAAGGGGTTCTTCTGTGACTAGAATACCCCACACAAGAGCCTTGATACTGGTCCGGTGCTTGTATTGTTTTCATTGTTGCATAGCAGCAATGCCCAGAGGATCGTTCTAGAACATTATGGGTTTGCCTTTCAAGGGCACAGAGTCCACCTTTCCTGAAATCCTGTGATCTTGTGGAGAGGAGGTTTTGCGTTACGTCCTTGGGATATATTCCTGAGAGAATCTCTACTTTAGAATGACGATATGGTACTGGTCACTAGAAGAGTCCTTCCCAAATCACATAAATGGGAGATCCAAGTGTTCCTCTAGGACCTCTACCGCGTGTTGAGAAGGTACTCTCGGTCAGACTGCGCATGCTATAATCGACATACTTGTTTTTAAAATAGTGACCGAGTAATAGGAATGAATCCCAAAACCTTATGGAGTTGAAGTGGAGTAGTAAACATGAACCTATAAAGGTTCTTCTCTGCTTCCCCTCCATGTGTGTTTGTCAAACATCTACCTACACTTTCTTAGTATAATCCGAAGAAACATCGTTCTAAGAGCCTCGCAATAACATTTATCTACTAGTCCAACTACCTTTTTTAAGGACGTCAATACAAGCTCAAACTTCCTGCTCGACTTAGGAAGATTAAGATGCATTTTACAACGAGTATCGCAACGGTCTTCGCCAGTACCTTACTTCTTTCTTTGACAATTGGTCTTCTCAGTGAAGATCTGCATAAGTAAGTCATTTCGTTCCTTGAGGTCGTAATATTCATAGGCTATACCTCATCTAATTCGAAAGTAGCCAACATTATGCGCGAGGTCTGTCTGCGCGTGCTGAGCCCCCAAAGCCCAAATCGCCAACTCCCTTCAGTAAGAAGTACTGCTCGGATCCTCTACCTCAATCGTTTTTCAAGAATATGGAGCAGGATGCAAAGCCTAAGACAGATCCGGAAGAAGAGACAGACCGGAAGCTGAAGAAAGACCCGAAAATAAAAACTAACCCGAAAAAGAAGACGGCGCCGAGGGATATCGAAAAATCAAAGATCCATGCGCGTGGCCCTGTTTCCGTTAAAATGGGTTCTTTTATTGCGCAACTCGAAAGAGGGGAGGGTTTAACATCTGATGGTTTTGGTACGTGCCCAGGTTTTGCCGTTGTTGGTACGCCGGCAGGATCGAATAAACCTGCCAGGATCCTTTACCATATGAGTCTTGGTACAAGTAATGAGCATAGGTTTCGTGAATTTATGGATGCGATTAGAACATCTGGGATGACAGTTACGCAAGGCGTAATGTACACAGTCGACACTCGAGCGTCTAATCCAGAGAACGACGACCCGGATTTGGCTGCTGAATCTGCGGCATCTGAGGCGACTTTTGAATACCGGGTAAGCAGTGTTACCCTTACTCCCCTTCTTAAATTGCAAATATCAGTGGCTTGGAGCCCATTGAAGCTCTGGACACAGTCACGCTCTAGACTAGTTTTGAAAAGCTCATACTAAATTTTTCTAGTGGTGGCATTTCACCCGAATCTGTTCCGGTCAATGTATTCGCGAGTACCACCCCTGGGGATCACGAACTACTGTTCTATCTATATCCTCATCCAATGTAATTAGTACTCATCATATTATGTGAGCAATTGTTGGGATATATCTCCTCTTTATTACAGGCGTTTTGGGAGTTTAACGTCGGCATTTCTCTGTTTTTTCTTTTTTAGGGAGGGGGAGTCACACGTTAGGGATTTTGCTTTCTAATCTTTAATTTGAAAGAATTATAAACAACCCAGGCGAATGTTCCTTGTATTGCTTATAACACAAGCAAAATATACTAGATTCTCAAAGAGTCTTTTTGCCGCTATATGAATTTAGCAGCGCAAAAAGGCAGAATTTTGATCGTCCATTTGAGCAGAAATACTGTTTTTTGTGTGCTGTAAGCGCATTATCTCTAGAGGAACGTAGTAGATTTCTAAGTGCTTCATCTAAATAAACTTGCACTCATAGTTTTATGGCTGGTAACTTCCAGGAAGAAGGTCCAATTACCTCTGCGTAGGTAACTAAGTAGAAATTATTGTCCAGCCATAAGACCTTGCATTCCAAACCCATTCTAGTTGTCGAGATACCTAATTCAGACCTTCTATGGTTTTTGAAACGAAGATGTTAAACAGCGAATTGCCCGCGAGGTCTGATATATCGAATCCATATCCCGTCTGTAGACTCCGAGTCTCTTGAATATAATTCTTTATGAAACCAAAAACACCAACCACCGCGTTGATAGCTAGATAAGAATCGCGAGTTGGATCAACACTGGCCTGCAGAGTATTGACAACCTCGTTCCAGGCACGGCCGTTGTAAGTGTCCATCGTGACGGTCAAGGTACCCAAATTACCAGCATTACCATCCTCAACGCTCGCGTATACCGACAGTACGGGGGCGACCACCGGTCCGGTTTGAGCAGCGATGGATTGAAACTGAGATATGATACTATTCAATGCTGCGATGACAGTAGACGAATGCTTCTGGTTCCAAACTCTACTTTCCGCGAGTGAGTAGCTGACAATTCCAAGATTGCAGAAAGAATTGCTGACCAGACTTGTTCCTGGAGCTTTACACGATCCTGCTCGCTCATTCAACGTAGATTTACGACGCTGAATTGGCCCCGTCAAAGTGAATCTTTCATCAACAATCCGTGGAGGGAGAGTGGTAAGCTCCGCAGAGTGCGTAGATTTGAGTGACTGGGAGATGTTTCCTGTCGAGTTGAATGCAACCTCACGCATGGTTTGAGCTGAACCTGTCTGGTAGACGTAGAGCGATGTTGAGCAAGAGTCGCACTGTACTTCTCCGTTCACACAGTACTCCACAAGAACCTGACACCAATGCATTGCTTCTAAGGCTGTCAATGTCTGTACATTGCTGCTTTGAGAGAAAACCGCAACAGTATTTCCAATATTCGTAGATGCGTAAGTGCCTTTTTTGAGATTGTCCGCACAGGTAGAGAGTTTGGCGAGAGAGGACAAGCATGCTTTCATACCCCATTTTCTTTGCTGCTTTGTCGGAGAGTCTGATTGAACACACGTCGTGGAGAACCCAGTCTCAGCGCTCGCAAGTGAGCATAAGGCCAGAATAGCACAAGGTAGAAGGAGTAAAAGTTTCCCCATTTTTCGATGTTGGAAACAAAAAAGACGAGAACTTGAAGTGGATATTTTGAAGAAGATAGATAATTGTAAACGTGAGGAGCTGAAGAGTGAAGTTGGAAAAATACAAGTCAAGTGGAGTTTTGGCCTGTACTTATATATCTTTTACAGCGTACCCCTTTCAAACTCCAATACAATTTGTTCTCATTAGCGACATTGGCTTACTGAAAAGTGCATGCCGACTATTGAATAGTAAGGCTTCATTTCAGCTAGCAAAGAAAAAATTCCGAATGAAAATAGTTTTCTCACTCAGCGAATATGCAGAAATCGTTGTCGGCGATTGTAGAGTGTTTTTTGGTGGTAATTGAATTCTACTATACTTCAATGGAAGTTGAAAATTTGATACCCAAGTGGACTTCCTTACTAAAGCGTTGCTCCTGCGTTAACCAGTATGAGCGGCTTACTCCCCTGCATCCGACCGGAGGTGCGCCAATGTTTTGGTGAAGGCACGAGAGCACCCCTAAAGCCGACGATTATTACGCTTGAGTGCATTGTATTCGGTTTGCTCATAATACCACCACTTATGCCGACGCGACTTGCCACCGCTGAAAACGATGAGCTACAAACTGTCGGCGATAATGAACTCCCTGCTATCATGTCAAAAATAATCAATTCCAAAGATTTTTGGGTTGCTTCCCATCACCGCAAGAATTTGATTCGCTTCAAAATCTATTCTATATCGTCGATCTTTGGATATTATCGCCGATTCTTGGAAGCAGCCGGAAAATGAGGTCATCCGTAAGTGACCACCCGAGCCTGCTTGTAAATTCGAAGACATAATTCACTGTCTCACGCAAGAGAAAGCACCTTTTGAACATCATATTTTAGAGGATCTAGTATTTCAACTCTGACGTCTCTTGAACGCTCACCAAGTCTATAGATCTAAGTCTGCTGCAAATCTCAGAAATGTTTGATTTTGTACCATGTTTGCCATTGCCTCACTCTCCAAACAAACCATAACCTCAAGCCCACCGTTCTGGAGACGAGGATAAATGGTAATATTCCCGTCTGCGCCTTCATATGGAATCTTGAAACCCTCAGGTGTACCCAAACTGCCCCAATCACGATCTCGTATCTTAAGGTCAGCCCAACTTGTCATAGTGACATCCGGCCCAAGGAATGCTTTCACCGCAAACTGGAAGTCCTGAGCATTCTGACGAGATGAAAGCAGTCCAATAGTACGCGATACCCGAGAAGGTTCATGTGTTGCATTAAGTGCGGCGCGGAGTGCTGCTGCGGCTTGAGGGAGTCCAGTTTCAGGATGGGTGAGTGATGCGATAGTGAGTCGTTTTGTGAGGCTACCGAGGCAAGCATTCCCAAGATATGTTCGTGGGAGTGGTGGGCTTGTGCGACTCCGAATATTTACTGCAAAAAGGGCGGCGGAGGTCGGTACATTCTTGTTATCGATCGATCTGAAAGGGGAGAGGGAAGACGACGCTCGAGCTAACGTCATGTGGTGCCAGAAAAACGCGCAGAGAGCGTCGTTTATCGAGAAAGCTCTTGCTTCCGTTTTCAAGTCTTCTAACTTCGGTCGCGAGACAAAGAACACCTTGGAGACCATTGGGGGAAGCTTGTAGGTCGGCGGTGCCAATCCAGACGAAGCCTTTGCGGTGGGCATGAGGAAGTATTCGGGGAATTCGGCAATATTTGCATCAGGAAGCCCCCGACGCAACGGCGTTCGGTCATTGACAATGGGGTCATACTCGCGGAAAGGACCCAAATCGCCCTCAATGCCAGTGTTTGATGCCCAAGTGTCGAGAATGTGATCTAATGCGACAGCATCACAGGCGGAATGATGCACTCCAACTGTCAAAAGAAGTCCATCCTTAATGAAGTTCGCTTGTGCTGCAAAAACAGGCTGTGATTGTTGAACTACCTGAAGTGGAGAAACCAGGGCAGTGGTAAGTTTTGAGAACGAAAAGTTGTTCTTCTTGAGTTCAGCGTACGATGGTAGGTCAGAGGTACGATCTAAACATCTTGAAATACTTAGCTAATATTGTGGATAAAGTATAGATATCAATACCTAAATTCACAACCACCTTGCCCTTCGACAATTTGCACTATGTTGCTTTCCTTATTTTGACCTTCTTCCAATCCCTAAAAATTGACCATGCATGAGCGCGTGACCCACTAGTGTAATAGCAAATAAACACTTACGATTTCGCCAGCAATCCAAGGCATGGCGGATATTGTGTAGGCTAGTGCTTTTTTCAAATTTTCAAATCTGGACAAAGGTATAAGCAGTGATTATTGGCAGGATTGTTCGAAGCCACTTACACATGTTTCTCATCTACGCCCGCGGGCAGAGGAAAGCAGAGAATCCATCGTGAACCGTACATTCTGGGCATGTTTTGGTCTAGAGGCGAAAGTTTGAGCTTTGCTGATAGCCTGGGCACAATTCCGTACTCTTCTGGCGTGACAAGGTGAGACTTGACAATATCGGCCTGAGCCATGGAAGTAGGATTAGGGGAAGTCATTTGGTAGCACAATCAAATGCAACAAAAGTAAGTACAAAAGGGAAGGTACAACTCTGCAATCCATACTGGCCAGCTCGGGATCCAATGGATGTTAAGTACTTCTAATCGAAGATAGCGTCGAGTGGCATGTATATTACGGATAGGGGCCAAATCCCTGAATCTGTACCGCCAAATGAGCGGTCTGGTAAATTCAAAGCAACCATAATCAAAGTCCGCCGCAATACTGTGGCTACTGGATCATCTTTTGATGCTACCTATCACGTGTATACTTCCAGCCGATTGGCCATCTCAACGTCTTCCTATATTGGTTAGACTTGGTGGAGGCTTTCGAGACACATCGGATCCACTCGGATCGAACAAGACAACCCTGCGCCGAAACACCAGTAATACGATGAGTTAATGATTTCTCATTGAACAGAAAATTAGCTCGCTGACACTTATCTATCTTTTCTACCGCGAGGTCCACAGGTTATACACAATCAAACCTGAAGCTTTCAGTACCACCATAGAGAATTTGGCTCTCAGCATAAAGTATCAAACGAGCATGTGCTTCGCCTATGTGAGCCATCCACTGCAGCTGCGCCCGCATCCATTTGCGCTGTACTTCTGGCAAGAACTTCGCACTCGAAGCGACATGTAGGGGCCAGATAAGGGAGAATTTGCCCTTAGATAGCCCAGAGGTCGGTATCTGCAGGAAGTTTTGCGGCCATAGGTAGGATTCCTCCGAAGGTTGAACCCATGGGTATTTGACAGATTGCATCCCTGCTAAATTTGACAAGTCGTAACCAAGAAGGAACGGGACACTGGCACAGATGTCGGATGCCAAATCACAGCTGATTCTGCTTTGTATCTGACTCTGCTCGTCCTGTTTGTACTCTACCGAATACACAGAAGACAAGCGGCAGAGGATGGATTGAATAATGATACGATAAACGCGGTAAAAATTCCACAATCGAGCAGCATATAAATTAGGGTATCGATGAATCTGATTGGGGTAATATATCGAGTGTGCTTTTTCGAAATTAGAGAAACTCTTTATGTTAATAACGGCCGTATAAGACCATTCTGACGGAAGCCTTGTGGCCCAAAGGGTGAGTTCATCATCCAAGTTTTCAGCCAATCTGATAAACTTAGAAACTGCGTTGTAATCAACAAGAGATTTTTCGCCCGCGAGGAGGCTGTTGACTTGGGAAAGAAGGATGGGAATACGAACTGCCTTGGATAGCAGTTTGTCTTCCATATTCTCAGTAAGTACGAGCATTTCTGAGGACTTTTCGAATATAGCGTCTAGAGGTTGAGATTTCTGCAGTTGATTTAGGACCTACGAAAAAGTCAGAAACCCGCTGTATAACAAAGAGCGAGCTTACCGCGCTTCTTCGAGCGAAAAGAAACATGCTGCATGCGAACGGAGAGGTAAAATTATCTTTCCCGCGGTGTTTCAGTAATGAAGTGGCACCATCGACGTGAACACCCCATCCATGCGATGCGTTGGAATCAAATGTGGTCGTCTTACACAAGGTAACGTCAGCTTATATTGAATAAGGCAGGGAGACATCTGTTGGACAAGATAAAGATTGGCTTGCTTCAATCCATTTCTCGAATAGTAATACGTGAAATAGATACTCTCTCGTCAATCAAAACAGGAAACCAAGAGTTGTAGAACTTTACGTTCAAAGATTAGACAATTCAAGCGTAAGCATGTTAGATGACGAATAGATCAAACATGTTATACTATTGCTAAACCTTGATTACCGTCGAGGGCAGAAGAAGAACAGGAAGAAATACGAACCTCGTAGCCAGACAGAAGTAGAACTGCATACAGAGTGTCATCACTCCTGGATTTATATGGATCTTGGAGAGCTGTGTTCAGAACTGCGAGTGCTTCAAGATAACGCTTTCTTGATAAGTATCTTCTCTCGTGGTCGATCGGGTTTGATCTTGCCCAGGTTGCAAGAGAGATTGCTTCCGTAGCTATGCGCAATACCGATCCTTTCTCCCCACGAGAAAGGAGAGCTGGAAGTTGAAGATGCAGGAATCTAGAGTGGTCCGTAGCCACTAAAGAATCGAGTACGGTTGAATAGAAATAGCATAACGGCAAATCCTCCTTGGATGGGAGACCAATTTCTTTTGAAATGAGAAGTCTAGCCTCGAAAGTCGCAAGTTGTGAACCATGTCGATCGCTTACGAGCGCGCTACCAACGGTGGGATTCTTAATGTGTATTCCTGACAGCCGATTTACCTTCTTCGGTTTGACGATTACGTGTCGGAAAAGAAGGTCGACTTCGTCTCGGTAGCCAATGCAATGTTTGTGCGTTCTAATACACCGCGAACACGAAGGTCGAAGTCCATCGCACTAATCTCAGTGAGATAAAGCAACTTATAGAAGGTGCTGAGCTAATGACCTTTGTATGTAGCTTTCTGCTCATTCATGACGTGTCAGACTATGTCTTTATCCCTCTTTGCCAGCTCTTACGGAGGAAACTAACCTGCAACTCTCACATCCAGCACTTAAACGCCCTTTGAAGACCATCGTAAGCAGTCTTTCTAGGAAACGTGGACGAGCCGTGCACATCTACGGATGAATATGTGAATTGGAGCAGATTCCCTGGTGGGGCTTTTTTTTCCGCCCGCACCTTGTCAGCTGAAAATGGGCTGATCGTCCTTTCGGCGTTAAAGTAAGACGGGCATTAAACCCCTCAATCTCTCGTTCCGCCTTTGTAAGTTAATATAAGAATCCGATAAAATTTCGAACTCGATATCTCTTTTCGTTCTAGATATTTATTACTTTATTTACTAAATTAATAATTATAAGTAAAACTTTCGGATATTTTTCGATTAATATAATAAGAAGTATACTTTTTATATTTAATTAAGAATTTATTACTTAATAGAATAGACTTTATATTAAAAGAGATAATATATACTTTTAAATAATAGTAGCTTTTACTTAACTCGATATAGTCTAGATATTATATAGTAGAAGTAAGATTTATAACTTAGACTTAACTATTATAAGTAGCGTTAGTCTTAGCGTCGTAATACTTCTAGAACTAAAGATTCTAGAATTAGGCGAGGTTATAGAAATTAAGTAGTTTCTAGAACTACTATCTAGTAGTTTAATTTAGTTAATATTAGCTATATTTAGATTAGCGGATAGACCTTAGTTTTAGGTAGTATTACGTAATAAGTAGAAGTTTAATAAGTTTACTAGGTTTACTATTAAACTCGTCGAACTTATTAAACTTATTAAGACTTAAGTAAAAAGAAAAGTTCTATATAATAATTATAATTTTCTAAGATAGAAGCTTTATACTTAACTTACTATAGTAATAAAATATTATCTATTTAACTTACTCTTATTATAATAAATATACCTTTAAGTCTATACGTTCAGCGGCGGCTTTGCGGCTAGGCGGCTTCGGGTCGATATCGTAACCCTACCAAAACTCTATCGACTAAAGTCTTAATTAATACTAAAAATAAATAGATACAACTTAGTATTATATTAAATATATACTATACCTACCTAGAAACTAACTTATAGTTACGTGCGACTTGTTTGTATTAAGTTATTATATATTTACAATATTACTTATAAATAGTTTAGGCCTATACACGTAATCTGTGTACTACCGTAGTATAAAAACTATACTATTACCTTCGACAACAACTCACAACTCCGTCGATCGAAGTTTGTTATCTTTTAATATAGACATCTATTTAGTATTAGATTAATATTATATCGCTCTATTATTATACGCGAGTAGAGGTACTTAAGATAGAATACCTTCTCGATATAGCTACTAACTACCGCCAAATAATTTAGGTCTACACAGATAATATAAGTAGTATACTACTATAGTATAAAAACTATACTATTATCTTCGATAATAACTTATAACCCTATTAATCGTAATTTATTATTTTGTAATATAGACATCGATACACTATAGAATCGACTTCGGATCGCTCTATTATCGTGCGCGAGCCTTTCTTATTAAGATTTACATTGTGTAAATTTTACCCCTAATTAATTTAGGCCTATACACGTGATTTGCTACCGCCCCCCTTCTCTTTTACCCTCTCTTTAGGTAATACAATTACGGTTTATATTATAATAATCACGTATTCTTAGCTTTTAACTACCCTTAAACTTCGTTATAGTACCTAAAAAGAAACTAGTTAGTCGACCAAGACTTAATAGTGTAAAAAGAAGGCGTAGAAAGGCTGCTACCGCCTAAGAAAGACGTCGAAGATTAGGTTTTCTAAATATTAGAATTCGAAGTAACCCTCTAATTTACCCTTCTACTACTACTTAGATTTAAGATATTCCCGCGCCGATAGAACTATCGACTTAACCTTAGACAACTACTCGAGTTATACGGTCAAGTAGTCGAGTAAGTCAAAATAACGATTTAGAGCCCCCTTTAAACTTAACCGACTAACTATTAATCCAACCTCGATATTATACCCGATCGACGTCAAAAAGCCCTTAACTCCCTACTATCCTAGCTTCGTTAATACGTTAGGGTTAGGGTTAGGGTTAGGG